TTGAGCTCCTTGGAGGAAAAGGTGGGGTAGAAACAAAGAAAGTATCCCATTTTTCCTCCCAAACGAGCCCAGTATGGCCAACAGCAAATGATAAAACAACAAAAACCACTCCCTCGGGGAGGATGCTCAAGAACAGGCATAGGCAAACTCCGGCCCTCAGATCTTTGGGACTACAATTCCCATCATCCCAAGCTAACAGGATGTCCAAAATCTGGAGCTACATGCACCAAGGAAGCTACCCAGCTTTTGGAAAAGGACACCAAACCAAAAGCCCCCAAAATCAAGAAGGCTTGAGCAAGAGAAGAGCCAGCTGCCCTTTATACCCCGTCTGCCAGGCCCAGCAGCACTTGGCAGCACAATGGGGCAGCCAACAATGGCCCAGCCCCAACCCCCCGCCATTGCCTTTCCTCCCCCATGGGTTGCAGCACTGTTAACTAACCATTTCTTTCCATCAGGAACCTGAGGGACAGAGAGAAGGACAAGACACACACAGCACCGCTGCCACAAGCCTGTGTGTGTGGACCTACCACACCAACCTGGAGATGAACCTGCTCGAGTCTCCTAGCCTCCTAGTGAGTACAATCACAAAAAAAAGCCATAGCACACACCTGCATATACACACACTTACATCAGGGTTGGCTTAGTTGTAAGTCAGTGCATACCCACAGAGTATGGCCATCAGTCTTTGGCTACTATTGTGCCCAGTACACAAGCTGGGGTCAACAGGGAAGGACCTTAGCTCAATGATAAAAGCATCTTGTTGGCATGCAGAAAGTCCCAGGTTCAATCCTCAGCATCCCCAGATGAGGCTGGCAGAGACCCTTTTCTGAAGTCCTGGAGAGCTGCTGAAACCATGCAAACAATACTAAACTAGACGGGCCAGTGGACTTCCTATGATGTGAATGATCAGTTACCCTATATGGCAGTGGTGAGACCTTGTCAACCCTGTGCTGTTATCTAAACTGGCTGTCAATTTGCTGCCAGGCCAGGTTCAAGGTGTTACATAAAGTCCTTAACAACGTGGGGCCAGTTTACCTGTGAGATTGCCTTGCCCCATGTATGTCCACCTGATTGCTTCAGTCTGCAGAACAGGCACTCTTACAGGTGCCACATTATACCTGTTCCATGTCTGCAAGAACTCCCTGCCTGTTGACATCAAGCAGATACCTTCACTGTACTCTCTTTAGCACCTGCTAAAAACATTTTTGTTTAGCCAAGCCTACTCAGATGTTAAGAATGTTGATGTGTTTTTATTCAACCCAAGTACTCTTAAACAAGGGTGAAAAAAGGTTGGAGTGGGTTCTACAGGTGGATCTCTGGGTGATTTGCAGTAAATCAAGGGTTTCTGACTTTCCATTGATTAACAGCAACCTAAACTTTTCCCACCTAAACCTAGGCTGCTTTAAGGAAGAAAGCTACCGTATTTTTCCGTTTATAAGATGCCCCCATGTATAAGGACCCCCCCTAATTTTGTGGGACTAAATTTTAAGAAAATGAGGGGAGATGGCCCAAGGTTGTTGAGCCTCTCCCCCCATGCAAATGCAGGCAGCAAACACTCCCTAGATTGTTTCCTACGTGTAGCGGCATTGGCTGGTTGGCCGGAGGGCGACTTCCCCTGATGCCACTGTGCGCGGGAAATGATACAGGGAGTGCTCCCCATGCAGAGTGGGATTGGGGCAAGTTGCATTCCCATCAGCCAGTGTCCCCATATCGCATTGGGGGAAGCTGTGAGCCGCCAGCCAGCATTCCCAGATCACTCCCTGCATGCAGCGGCATCAGGAGAAGCTGTGTGCCCCCAGCCAGCACCCCCAGATTGCTCCTTACTCGCTGCGGCATCGGGGGAAGGTGCGCTCCTGCCAACCAGTTGGCTGGCGTGCGTGCCGCTCCCCCCCCCCATTCCACTATCTGTGTATTGGATGACCCCCATTTTTGGACATGATTTTTTAGTCAAAAAACCTTGTCCAATACACGGAAAAGTATGGTAGTTAGGAGAGAAGTCAGGTGAAAGAACTGTGAGCTCAGTTCACTTCTGCTACTGAGAACAGATACAAAGGCTCAGAAGAACCCTGTTCTTAAATGCAAGGGTGAAACTAGGCTTTATTTCACCTGGCTCAAAGACCCAGTTTTGTGTCACACCCGCAAATATTTGCACACACAGGCTGGAAGCCTCAATGTTGCCCCTCTGGAGGCTTCACCTGGACCAAAAAACCTAGCTACCCCACCTTCCAAGTAACTATAACACTGCTTTAATGCCAACCACATTAACACTTAGCCTGCGTTGGTGTATCTTGGGCTTCTACAATTAAAACAAACCAGATCTAACAAGCTTGAAATCTACCAACCCTTTTGTCTAGAAGATTAAAGCAAAATGATGTTACTGATTTTCACACACACAAGCAAACACACAACACACCAGAGGCTTAGAATGAATGGAATTTCACAAAGCCCTGAAGCAAACTAATAATCGCCACCTTATCTGAGGTGGAAACTTGCGCCCATTAGATCCTCGGACCTTTTGGCTTCAAAGAGTTGTCAATACTTTATCTATGTCGGCAGCTAAGATGCGGGGTGGGGGTGGAACGGGACACCAGTTCTATCACTTGGGTCATCTCTGCTTAAATAGATGTAGAGATCTTGTTTCAAGCTACTTTGCCTTTCTCTGCTCTGACTGGAAGTTTACCACATCCATTCCTCTCTCTTTTGCCCAGTCTGTCACATGATTTCTGTTATATCATGTGGGAGATATATCAAACTGTTCCCTGCCCCTTTTTGGGGAGACACCTCTGAAAAATTATGTAAGCTCTTAAGAAGAGGCTGCTGGATCAAGCCAATGGCCCATCTAGGCCAAGCATTCTGTTCTTGTAGGAGCCAACCAGATGCCCAATATGGAAAGCTGACAAGAACCTGAGAGCAACAACACCCTCTGCAATTGTGACTACTAGCAACTGGCATTCAGAGGCATCTTGACACTGGAAGTAGAATATAGCCATCACATCTATTAACCACCAGTAGCCTTGTCCTCCATGAATTCTGAGTTGGTAGCCATCGCTGTCTCCTGTGGGAAGGGGTTCCATAGTTTAGCTATGTACTGTGTCTTCTTTTTGGTAACACATTTCCTTTTTGGAGAGTGCTGTTGCACAAGTAAACCCTAGCACACTTCATTTTGGGTGTGAGGAGGAGAACTCACACACAATATTAAATTACTGATTCCTGATTAAAACAGGGAGCTGACGTGGTGGGCAAAATCATCTTGGTTGACCACAAACTTGACATGAGCCAACAGTGTGACGCGGCAGCTAAAAAAGCCAATGCAATTCTGGGCTGCCTCAATAGGAGTATAGCATCTAGATCAAGGGAAGTAATAGTACCACTGTATTCTGCTCTGGTCAGACCTCACCTGGAGTACTGTGTCCAGTTCTGGGCACCACAGTTCAAGAAGGACACTGACAAACTGGAACGTGTCCAGAGGAGGGCAACCAAAATGGTCAAAGGCCTGGAAAGGATGCCTTATGAGGAACGGCTAAGGGAGCTGGGCATGTTTAGCCTGGAGAAGAGGAGGTTAAGGGGTGATATGATAGCCATGTTCAAATATATAAAAGGATGTCACATAGAGGAGGGAGAAAGGTTGTTTTCTGCTGCTCCAGAGAAGCGGACACGGAGCAATGGATCCAAACTACAAGAAAGAAGATTCCACCTAAACATTAGGAAGAACTTCCTGACAGTAAGAGCTGTTCGACAGTGGAATTTGCTGCCAAGGAGTGTGGTGGAGTCTCCTTCTTTGGAGGTCTTTAAGCAGAGGCTTGACAACCATATGTCAGGAGTGCTCTGATGGTGTTTCCTGCTTGGCAGGGGGTTGGACTCTATGGCCCTTGTGGTCTCTTCCAACTCTATGATTCTATGATTCTATGATCTTATTCTAGCAGCTGAAGACACACATCTGGCTTGGCTGAGGATCACCAACTTCTGACACTTTCCCGAGCTGGCTAAGGAAACCACAAGGAGAAAGAGTAGACTTATGAGAAATCCCAGGGATGGGGAACATGCTGCGGCCCTCCTGATGTTGTTGATGGGAGTTGGAGGTAACAACACCTGAAGATCCACAGGTTCCCCATCCCTGAATTAGACCAGTGCAGATTTCTCTCCTAGGGCCTAGGCTCATGCCTGCTGCTGTTGCTGCTGCCCAGTCTTCCATAGGAATTGCACTTTGACCCCTCTAGCAGCAGAGATGGATTGCCTGATCCCAGGAAGCTCTGCCAGGACAAGATAAGCAGGTTTTATTTTCCAGTCAAGTATTGTGTGTCCTTATAAGGTCATCTGTGCCTAAAGAATGGGGTAAAAAAGTGAAACCCTTCTCATTGTAAACGAAAACTGGAGAAATACTTGCAATTTTCTCAACTTGCACATTTTCTGAGAAAAAATGGAGCGATTTGATCCCAGCTCTTACACATATACAAAATTCCCCTCAGTTATCATATCCTAAAATTACTTATATATACATATATCTTCACTTATAAGTTTATGCATAAATTGCATTGAGACAGTTGTTTAAAAGGCAATTAATAAATCTGATGATGGTGATGAATTGTATGTTTACTCTGCTTGCAAATTGCTTTTGGACTTTTCCTTGTGAGAGTCTTCTGTCTCCTTTATTGCTCACTTTCAGGAAGAATCTGAAACTTTTCCTGTTTATACCCAGGCATTTGATGTCTGAAATATACTGATCCTGGTAACCATGAAATCATTGCCTAAGACAATGTGATTGTTTTAAGCTATTTTTAGAATGTTTTTGATGTGTTTGCTGCCCAGGGTTCCTTTGGGAGGAAGAGTGGGATATAAACTGAATAAATAATAGGAGGAAGCGATATATAAATTTAATAAACCTAACCCTAACCATTCAAGAAGGATTGGTATGTTTATACACGGTTGTTAGAAGAATGGCTAACTTGTAGGGATCCCCTTAAAGAGACTCCCTAAATAACTGACATGCAGGTATGAAAAGGTCAATTATTACCAGTTTTCACTTTATTTCAGTCAAAAGGGTTTTTCAAAGTGTACAGTTACTCTGCATAAAATAAGACACCATAGCTAAAAAAAGTGGATTTGTTTGTGCATGAATAATATTTATACATTTGTGTTTTCTGCATATTTTCCAAGGGGTAGTTAGCTGAACCAATGTAAGTTATTACTATATGAATATGATTTTTTTAATAGAAGAAAATAGCAGCCTTCCCTAATCTTGTGCCCTCCAGAAGTTTTGGACTACAACTTCCATAAGCCCCAGTCAACATGGTCATTTGCTAGGGATGATGGGAGTTGTAGTCTGGAACATCTGCAAAGGACCAGATTGGCTGAGCATTTAAAATATTTCACAGAATATGCAAAAATAAAACCCTTTAAAATGTGGGTTTTTCTTTTTTCTTTTGCTTCTTAAGGACAGATAAATCATCAAGAGTGTGGCATACAATATAGACATCAACAGCCCCGATTAAAAACAATTATGGCTATAGCATTATTATACCTTTTCCTAAATAAAATATGCCCAGAACTCAGAGAAGAAAATAAACCTTTAAAACTCAGTAGTAGTTTGCTGCACGACAAAAATAGATCCTCTCGTCACTTATTGCCTATACAATATTGCTTTCTGCTTTATGTGAGTATTTTTAACATATATATTTATATATAGGTTTTGGTTTACTCTGGTGAAGTCAGTGATTTTAGGCTGCTTTGTGTCTAAATGATTAAGAAGTTGAAAACTTAAAAAATGTGCTTACACAATATACACATTTCATTAATTACAAAGGAAAAAAAATAAGCTTAAACATTTCATATTAAAAACCTGGGGTACAGTAGGGTTAGTAGCACCATGAACTTTGGGCTTCTCAAAATGAGCAGTCTGCTCTTTTGAACCATCACAGTGCATTGTAAGATTGTAGTTTCTTCTTTTCCTCTGGGATGAATTTTCAAAGCGGGCCCTCTTGGCCTTTGGGGTGGGAGAAGTGGTAACTTCACCTTCTGATCCTTAGTGACCCCAGGTGTCTCCAATATTTTGCAAGAGGTCAGTTCTCTTCCTTGACACACACACAAAAAATGCACCAGAAGAACACCTTTGGGATGGCACTTGAGGAGAGGCACACCGGAATCTGCATAATCAGAATTTTCTCTTCTTCTTCTTCTTCTTCGTCTTCTTCTTCTGCACAATAGCACCATTGTTATATCTAAAGGAAGTGTATATCTAAAGGAAGTGCACCGTTAGATTTCTCCGTTGAGGCATTACGTCCTCTTCATACAAACTTGGCATCGACTAATGCGCGTCCTCAGGTCTCCAGCTTTCAGAGTCTCCGACTGAGGTTTACTGGTCAACAGAAATGCAGAGGACACATGAAGTTAGATACCATGGTTACATCTCTATACCAACCTTCCTCCAAGAATCTTAAGGTGGCATTCAAGATCCCTCCCAACCTGCTATTCTATGCTCTCAGCAGCCCTGCGAGGCAAGCTGAGCTGTGTGTCTGGAAAAGAAGCCTTAGCTTGGTTGTAGAACATCTGCATTGCATGCAGAAGGTCCCAGGCCCACTCTCCAGGTAGGGCTGAGAGAAACTCCCTCCCTGGAATGCCACTGTCAGTCACTGATTATAACACTGAGCTGGATGGACCAATGGGTCTGACTACATTTAAAGCAGCCACCTATGTTTCCTATGGCTGGATGAAGTCATAGCTGAGTGGGAGGGTCACTGGCTCTTCCAGCTGCAGCTGGCAGTAGGTTTTCAGAGTCTCTCTCTGAGATAGAAGGCCTTCTAAGACCTCTTTAACTGGAGATGTTGGGAGTAGAATGGGTGGAGAGAACAAGCCAGATGGGGGGTAGAGGAAGCGTGTGAATGACATTTTATAAACGACTCTGTTACAGTGACTGTGTGCATGGCCAAAGCTGGGCAAGTGGCAGGATCATGGAAGATTTTATTTATCACAATGTTTTAAGAACCTGTTCTTCATTAAAAAGGAAAAAAAAGATGCCCCTAGAGGTTCACAAGATTAAAACCAAAATAAAACCCAAATAAAAGAATCAGTGCAAAAAACCTCAGCATAAAAACTAAGTAAAAGATTTTAGTTCAAAAGGAGACTAAAAGTTGTAAAGGTAAGGGGCAGTTATTATTGTTGTTGTTGTTTTTAAGGAAATATTTACCAGCTGCCAAAAAGAGAACAGGCACAACACCAGGTGAGGTCTGCTCCTGAGAGCACATTCTATAATTCAGGTGAATGGGGTGCCATCACAAAAAGGCCCTATGTTAGGATACTACACACCTCATCTCTGTGGTGGATTGACTCAGATGGACCTCTGAGGATTCTTTTAATAATCTGGCAGGATGATTATGTCCTGTCCAGGGGTAGCCAATGCGGTGCCCTCCAGAGGTTGTTTGACTGCAACTCCCATCATCCTTGTCCATTAGCCATGCTGGCTGGGGCTGATGGGTGTTGTAGTCCAACATCATCTGGAAGATGACACATTTCCCACCCCCACCCCTGATGTAGGTTTAGGTTATTTCCTAGTCCTAAATGCATGCTATGGTTGTGCAGAATGGGGTTTTGCTTTGACAGGTGCACCAAGCTTTTAGCTATATTTCTACAGTAACTCCTGACCATAGACCAAGCTGACCAGGGCTGATGGGAGTTGGAGTATATGGAGGGCACTAGATTGGCTCATTCTGTCTTAATGGAATCCTTACACATGTAGGCATTGTCTCTACTGTACTTAGGGAAGGATTATGCCTAGACTGTGAACCTTACATATAATTAACATAAAGTAATAGTTAATTATACCTGTATGTAGTGAAATAACTTTCTGTATTAGATTACAGGCTGGTGTGGTTTAGGGTTGCCATATTTTGAAAAGCAAAAAAGAGGACACATTTGCTGACTTCTACTTTTAACTATGGATTGCTATGACGACTTTCATTTTACATACCCATGAAAAAGAGGAAGTATCCTGGAAAAAGAGGACATATATGGCAATCCTAGTTAGATCTGACTTAAACTTTATAAGTTTACATGTTTAAGTATTGTTTATCTGGAATTAACCCCTATGTTGTTTTGTTTGTTGCATCTGCTAAGACTCATTATTTTGTCTGCTTCTATTTGTAAGCAATTTTTTAAAAATTGACAAGCTTAGAGGTTGTGATTCGAAATGGCGTCCAATAGTAACCTTGACAAAACCCTGCTCCTTGATCTCAGGAACCATCAAGATATCATATGAGGTGTCCAAATGCATACCGAACAAAAAACTTGCCAAATATATATACATTAGTCAATGTGGGATACACTCACCTAAACATTTCTGCCACTTCCACAGTTGCCAGCCAGAAACTGTATGAATTAGCATAATAGTTGCAGGTCCCTCGACCATGACACTCAATGAAAGGAGCGGAACGGAATTCTTCCAGGCAGGAACCAGGAGAGGCCAATGCCTGTCCAGATCCCTCTGCCCCGGCACTGGTATGCTAAAAAATAAAGCAGCAAGGTCAGTTTAATTCGCCTCATTCATACTTAATGCTAAGTCAAACTATGGCTTAACATAGACAAGCAATTGTGCTGGTGCACAGGGAGAAAACTGTGGTCACTTTTGCTTTGTGGTAGCTCCTGCTGCAGCCATGCTACCAGAAGCTAAACCATGGTTTGGGCTCAGTGTTACATGGTTTGCCTGGGGTGTAGAGGGATATTGGTGGGTGGGGTTTGAACATGGCTCCTGCCCCCCTCCCCTCTTTAAGCTCACATGCATTTGTCCCAAACTAATGAAGAGAGCTTGGGACATTATTATGGAAACTTTCAGTGAAGGTACATACCATCATAAAAGAATAACCAATCCATAGAGAGTTCCAGCCTTGTGGACAAGGTGGGATTTGAATGGTCTGGCTGTGGATCGCTATAACCATGGCAGGAGCTTCACAGACAGTGCAGCTGAAGGGGGAAATATTGGAGAAGGAACAGTGTTAAAAGACCTGCTGAATCAGATTAAAAATCCCATCTAGTTCAGTGCCTTGTGTCTCACTGTAACCAGTTAGAAGTTCCTACAAAGCCCAAAAGCAGGGCATGAAGGCAATAACCATCTCCCGCTGTTGCTACCCAGCAGCTGGAATACTGCCACTGAACATGGAGGTTCTATGTTGTGGCTAACAGCAATGGGTAGGCTTCTCCTCAACCTCCTTTTTGCTTCATATGCCTTTATGCTAACTCTGAGTGACAATGCAGTTTCTGGATTGTTTCAACTGACTGCTGGTTCTATTTTATTGATTTTAATTTGCAGCAGCTGCCCAGTGCGCACGGATAATGGGTGGCGCATAAGTACCACAAATTAATCTCTAAGCTACTTATTGTGGACTTATTATTATTTATTAAGTTTCTATACCACCCTTCATCCAAAGATCACAGGGTGGTTTACAATACAAAACCACAAAACCACATACCATAATGTCAAAACAATACCCACTCCATAGTTTGACCCTACACGTTAATTGAATGTGGCGTGAGGAAGACCTTTCTTTTGTCTGTCTTGAATCTCCTGCCCATCAGTCTGTACCCATCCCATATTAACAAGCCCTCATACATAAATATACAGCTCCATAATGTTTTATATAGCTTTATGCAGCAACATCTTCATCTAGACAGCTATTTGAAGAAAGCAACTAAAAGACAGAAAGAACATGCATTTTCTCTGTGTGTTTGGATCTGAATCCCACTTTCTGCCTCACCGGCTAATGAAGGGTTGGATGTTCTTTCCGGTTAAAGGCTCCATGCTCATTGGCATTGGCTCAGGGGTGGAGAGCCAGTAGGAATAGTCGTTCCGAGATGCAAAATTACAGACATTGTTGATGTTGCAGAACATGAAGGGCATGGTGCTGAAACGGCGGAGGCAGCTTCCAGCAGTGCCTGGCAAACAAGAGACACAATTTTATAGGCATGAGGGGGTTGGGGGAATCTTCCCCACTGTAGAAGGTCTTTATATAATGCCTAACCCAGCTTCCCCCATCCTTGGTCCCAAGATGTTGCTGGACTGCACCTCCCACCAACCCCAACTGTTACACATGCTGTATGAGGCTAATGGGATATGTAGTCCAGCAACTTCTCGGAACCCTAGGTTGGAAAAGGCAGCCTTAAGTGCACCATGCAGAAGATGGTCCAGAAGATGCAGTGCAGGCCTAAAGGATTATGTATTTGACTTTTGTGACCCCCTCCTCTGCCATGGATTTACTTTGTGGCTACAGGCAAATCCCAGCCTCAGTTTGCCATCTGTAAAGTGGGATTCATAGTGCTTCAATCAGGTTTCCTGTGGATTGACATTTGTTCCAATTGTGCAGTAAGCTGCGGGTTTCCCCGGGGGAAAGTGGCAGAACAGAAAGAAACACCTGTTGGAATGGCGACTTGAAATCATGGGACAAACAAAAGTGTGGCTGGGCCCTAAGTCCATATGATTTGTTTTGTAACATTAAATTCATTCTTTGCTAAATTGCTGATTTCTGCCTTCTTTGTTGCTTTGGATAGCCACATGTCGTGGATGCTTCAGTGGGGGCTGGACCAGATGACCCTTGGGCTCCTTTCCATCTCTACAGTTCTAGGATTCTACTGCCTACACACACACACACTCCAAAGTTTTGCATTTGATAGTAAGTGGGTGCCTGTTGTAAGCCGCTTTGGGTACTCTGAAAAGGTGGTGCATGAACAAACTGAATCAACGAATCAATCACATTCCCAGCAAAGACTATGTCTCACCCAAGTCCTGCCCATGGGCTCTCTCGTTCCCCTGCACGTAGAGAAGAGAAAATCCATTGTAAATCTGGGTGGTTCCTTGTGGGCAGAAGGGCGTGTCTGTTGTCTGGCTGTGGCGAGTTATGAGGAATCCATGAGCAACTGAAGCAGGCCCAGGAAGACCAGGGGGGCCCTGAAGTCCATCTGGACCAGGGGGCCCCTGCGAGCCTCGTTGACCTGTTTATGCAGGACAAACAAAACAGATTAATTCCCCTGAGAAAGATGTAAAGATGTATAATAAAGCAAAGGCATGCCACACAGAAGTAAGTGTGGATCCTCTGAAACAAATGTCAAACAGTAGAGATAGGCTGAATCTCCACTATATCATTTGACTTTTAAGCAGGCTTGGCTTCCCGAAAAGGGTCTGGGAATTGTAGTTTGTTAAGGGATCTGAGAGTTATTAGAAGGCCCCTTGTCCCCTCACAGAGCACCAGAGTGCCCTAAATAATTCTGAATTGTAGCTCTGGAAGGGAATAGGGGGCCTCCAAACAACTCTTGCCACCTTTAGCAAACTACAATTCCCAGGATCCTTTGGGGGAAACCATGACTTCTTAAGCAGCATTGTAGTGCTTTAAATGTATCATGCAGATATGGAGGTTCTGCTGAGGAGGCTTTTCTTCATGTCCTAGTGGTGGGTAAGGCAAGATTAGCCAAACCATGGTTTCTCTGGTTGCACCTAGGCTATGGAACTCCCTAACTACTCTCTGTGCTTTTCACCACCTAGCCAATAATATATTTAGGCAGGCATCTGACATGCTGGGCTCTGGTTTTCAGTTGGATTGGTTCATCTATCAGTGATGGCCAAACTTGGCCCTCCAGCTGTTTTGGGACAACAATTCCCATCATCCCTGACCACTGATCCTGTTAGCTAGGGATGATAGGAGTTGTAGTCCCAAAACAGCTGGAGGGCCAAGTTTGGCCATGATCCATATCTGGTTTTATTATTGTTCTCGTTTTGGCTTTTGCCTTAGAACTGTTGTAAAGTGCCCTGCACCTGCCAGTCCCTCTCAGAGCAGACTCTCTGAAAACAGACATGGCTAATGTATGCCCATTGATTTCAATTTGGCTACTCTCAGTGTAATTTTATTGGATGCAACCTACTGTCCAGAATGGGAAGGTGATATATACATTATTTTATCTGCAATAAAATAGAGGGAGAGAAAGAGAGAGCCACTGACTCAGAAGAAGGTGAATGTGCTTATAATTTGTTCCCTTCACTCCACATCGTCTTGCGCTTTTCAACTGAAAAATTCAGCTGAATTCAAAATCCGCCTGTTTAGGATTCAGCTACTGTACTTTCACAGTTTGGTACCAAACTACATTTCCTATGTCCAGTTCATGCACATTATCACCTTCCCCTCAAGCAGCTGTTCTAAAGACATGTCGCTTCTTACTCTGCAGTCTTGATGGAACCTCCTCCTTGCACACAGTGCTTCTTTTCCCCACCTACTTCTAAGCAAAATTGGGGCAAGTTCCTCCCCTCCAGCACATGTACCTTAGAGTGCACAGTAACCACAAAATGCTGCAGCAAAAGTCATCTGGAGATTATTCACTTAAATTTATCCATATGCATTCACCCACAAGTTCCCACTCAGCCATGAAGCTCATTGGGTGAACTAGGGCCAGTGACCCTCAGCATTGCCTACCTCACAAGGTTGCTCTGATAATGCAGGGAGGAGGAATCATGATGTAAACAAGCAAACAAGCAAGCAAACCTTTAAACCCACCAACATAAACAAAAGAAAATTTTAAGATACCCTGTTCCTTAAGACTATGGCAATTGATACTCAGGCAAATCAGATTGCTCCACACACCATGCGCCTGTCGCCACCCTCTCACTGAAATTCTCTTCAACATGGATGGAGCGCTTACCATACCTTGTTGACCTGGAAGTCCTCTCTCTCCTTTACGTCCTCCTGGTCCATCAAATCCAGGAAGCCCATCTCGTCCAGGATCACCAGGGAGACCGATTGGGCCTAGATATGTGTATGCACAAACACATTGTAGTAAAATGTCTGCAAATATGCCTAAGCAGTCAGCAACTATAGTATCATGGTTTATTTAAATCTGGGAGCTGGCCAAATGTTAAGCTATGCAATTGTCTGTTTTATCTGAGTTTCTTATGTCTCCGAATGAGAAATTTACCTGGTAATCCTGGAGGGCCTGATAGCCCAGGTAGACCTTTCATTCCAGGCTGCCCTGGAGGACCTGGTGGGCCTGGGTCACCTTTTACAATAATTGTTTGTCCAGCTGGACCAGGTATCCCTGGAGGACCTGGAGGACAAAGCAAAAGCAGTTTTCAGTTTTTACATCACTAACTGGTCTTCCTCTTAATGATTCATTAGGGGAGAGGGGTGCATCCCACAAGGGAAAACATTTGCACATGCACATCCCACAAAAGGGAAATTGATTAGGTCCATCAGGGGCCCAGCAATCCTTCTGTTGGATCAGACTGAAACCATTCAAAGTGTGACCAACTTTGCTTCAAAGGTTCAAAGACTTTCTGAGATATGCCCTACACTGGAGCAGACAAGTCATTCTGACCCCATAGGAGACTTTTGATTTGTGACACAAAGGGCTTTTGTCTTTTCACTTTTTTTACAGCATACAAGAGAGACTCAAAGGCACCTGACATTCAGAACAAAGGACAGAGAAAAACCTTTTCTCCAAGCTGGACTCAATGACAGTGAAATTCAGCCTGATCTGGACCTGGTAGAAAATCTGCCCCTTTCTCCTATGCCTTTACTATGCTAAAACTTTGCATAACTTGGTAGATCCCACCCCCCTTCTTCTTGATTGATGTTTGCTTGAGAAAAGTTGAAGACGTGGCACATGATAGACATTTATAACATTATTATGCATGGTATGGAAAATGTAGCTAGAGAACTGCTTTTCTCTCTCATAACACCAGAACTCATGGACAATGAAACTGAATGTTGCAAGATTCAGAATGGATAAAAGAAAGTATTTTTCACATAGTACATAGTTCAACTATAGAACTCGCTCCCACAGGAAGCAGTGATGGTCACCAACGTGAATGTATTTAACCAATAACTTAGTGGAGTGGTAGGTCTTCAGTGGAAGTCTTCAAGAATGTGGGGGAAGCTCTAGCTCTGGGTTTCCTGTATCAAACAGGTTAAACTAGAAGACCTAAAGCCCCCACCGACTCTATGATTCTGTGGCTGTATTTGCATGTCACATTAAGCTATCAACTATGATTTATAATGCACAAGTGAATCAGGCTTTCATTAGAAGTCCCTATGATTCCAACTAGAAAGAAAAGTGGGAGTCATTTAAAGAAACTGGTGTGACTGCACAAGGAACTTACAGATGAGCTGAGATTTAAGAAGGGCATTGTAAGAAATGGAAGAAAGGGGGAATCATGAAGGAAGAGTATACACACTTAGCCAACAGTTGCTGGGAGAAGATCAGGTAGGCCAAAGCTCAGAATGATATGATAGTCATCTTTCAAATATCTGTCACAGATGGAGCAAGTTGTTTCGTGCTGTTCCAGGGTTTATAGGACCCAAAGCAACGACTTCAAGTTACAAGAAAGGAGATTCCAACTAAACATCGGGAAGAACTTTCTGATAGTCAGAACTGTTTGACCCCTTAAAAAGTGGGTGGACTCTCAATCATTGGAAGTTTTAAAGTAGGGGTTGGGTGGTCATCTGTCATGGATGCTTTAGTTGTGGTTCCTGCATAGCAAGAGTTGGACTGAATATCCTCAGGGTCCTTTCCAACTCTACAATAATATGATTCTGTGATTCATGCTGGGAGGAACAAACCACAATCTCTGACTTAACTTTACATCTGAATCTGTTACTAGGGTTTGGTTCACTCCAAACAAACTATGATCTGTAATCCAGCTTCTCATGTTGGCTTCCCTACTTTCTGAGAGGGGAGCCTTCAGCAACTTTCCAGCAGCTTCCTTGTATATGAGTTTTCAAAATGCTGGGTGGTGGCAGCAGCTTTGATGGCCCAGTTACTATACTCTTTAAAGCAGAAGCAATGCAGCAGACCAATCTTCTCCAATAAACATCCCGACCCTGGTCAAAACAAGGTCTCACAGTTCGTTTTCTATTCTGGTTCAGCCACACACAAAAACACAGTTCCTACCTGGAGATCCAGGGAGTCCAGGGTCTCCTCCAAGGCCTGGTGGTCCTGAAGGTCCAAGGGGCCCCTTCATGCCTGAAAGGCAAAAGCTGTGCAGTTAATGATAACCCAGTGGAATTGGATGATCTTTAGCAGCATTAGCACTGCATGAAGCAACTCTATCTCCTGCCCCAGATATCTGTTTCTTTAGCTCAAAGGACATAATTTTTATCTGCAACATTTATGGCATCATTTACCTGTAAAGGCCGAAATCGGGGTGGGGACCCTCAGGTCCAGGGGCCAAATTTGGCTGTCCAAGGCCTATTCAGCCCTTAGAACTCTCCCTAGACCGAACCCCTCACTGGCCCTGCTTACACCCCAAGAGTTTCGCCTGGTTGTAAGGTATTGTTGAACTCTGATAATGCTTTTTGCTTCTCTGGATTAAGGATAGAGGTGGGTGCAGGTGTAGAAACTAGCCGACTGTACAGAGGTAGAACATACATTCATTACTCTGCCCACTTTCTCCTCTGGCCCCATCCACCATTACTATGTGGCCCTCAGAAGGCTGCCCAGAAAAGAATGCCTCCCACTTTGAGCTGAAAAGGTTTCCCATCCCCTCCCTAAATGGATTGGGACATGGGTATCAGATGCACTGTAGCCTTCTCCCAGCTGAAGAATCAGCTGAAGGATATGCTTTGGAAGTAGCTGTTGGGGGAGCTTTCTTAGTACTGGTGCTTCATTTCTACAATTGCCTCCCTCAGCAGGTTCAACGCTTACCAATTAGACCCAGAAGTAGGCAACACTATGTTTTCCTGATCTTGTTGGACTGACTCCAACTTCCGATTAGCATGACCAGTGCTCAGTGATGATGGGAGTTGTAGTCCAACAACATTTGGATGGCACCATGTGGGCTCCCCAAGTTATAGGATAAGACAGTTTTATTGTCAAAAGCTTTTATTTTATTTTAACATGCTCTGGTGGCTGCAGTGTTGGTTACCTTGTTCATTTTTTCTACATGATTCGAAACGGCATTTTGACTCAGGTGGTGGAAGCTCATCATTGTGGTGGTGACCCACGTCTTCATGGGAACCAAGTCCCACAACAAGGGCTCCACCACTAAGAAGGCCCTGCTCCAGGTTCCTACATGATGTGCCATGTTCACAAGGTGGGCCCACAACCTCATAGATTATTGTTGCTTTATGCTGAAGTTGATCTAAACTAATTTCAGTATTTTAATATCTGTAACAGCAGCTTGTTGTAAAGCATTTTAAGCATAAACTGCATGCATCCACCAGGATCTGGACTCTGCTATTACAGCAGATGAATCTGTCCAGAGCACAGTCTAGTCTTGTTGTGTGGGATGAGTTTCAGTTGGTAAGCCCCAAAGATGTGCCGACAAGGTGCTTGCAAACTCTGGACCTTTGACCCTCTTGGCTGTTTAAAACTATCAGTGAGGGGGCACATGGTTTTAGCTTGGAAGAGGCCCTCCAGAATTGCCTTTAATGTACCTGGGAATCCTGGAACTCCTGGAACACCAGGATCTCCTTTCATTCCATTCAGACCAGGACGACCAGGATCACCCTAAGACAACACAGTTGTGGTTATTACTTTCATAGGTGTGCATAATACTGCAGCCTAAATCTCTTTCATCCAAAACCAACTGCTGCTTTAGAAACAAACATTTCTCCCTTTCCAAGCACTCACCGGGCGTCCAGGTAGTCCTTGGTCTCCTTTCAAACCAGGCGCTCCGGGCTGACCTGGCTGGCCAGGGTTTCCCTTTTCTCCTCTTACTCCTCCAGTTCCGGGGGGTCCACGGGGGCCTTCTGAACCAGGAAGACCTTGATATTGCAAAACACAAGTTCTTGGGTTAGAATGACTTGGTCCCCTTGCGAGTCACCTCTGTTATCAATGAGGGCGAGTGCTTGGAATGAACTCATTCGGTTTAGCAATGTTCTCTGAATTAACTCAGAAACCTCTGCGCTACATGGTTATTGTTTTTGTTTGTTACTATGTTATGTTTTGTATTGCAAACTGCCTTGTGATTCTCAGATGAAGGGTGGTATAGAAAACAAACAAAACAAATAAATACACCTGAAAGTAGTTCCCATAATTTCTGGGTGAACTGAATGTGAATAAAGTTTGTTTTGGGGTAGAAAATGATTTCTAGCTCATCTTCAAGTTCATTCAAGTGATTTTCTGCACTTTAGACACTTTCGGCCTTTAAGCTTAAAGGATGTAATTCTTGCAGGAAATATACAAAACAATTCATATTCCATTGTGTTTGTGTATTTTGCTGTTTTCTTATGTCTTCTTAAGTATATTATATACTTCAGCATAGCAACTTGGAACATTCTGAAGCCTGGAATCCACACACCCCACTCCCAGGATGAACTGTGAACTGAACTAGTTTGCTTTGGAAATGCATGAATGTGATCTGGAATTTGATCCCTATTGAGCAAGAACTAAATCCTTTTAAAATGGACTTTCTGAGCTCTGGTATGGCCTCTGCTAAAGGGCCATCTTCCTTAGGTTTGTAGGGAGATGTATTTCCATGCTCAAGATGGAGCTCTGAAAGGACCTGGCTGTTGGGTCTTGGGATTCTGTTGCCATCTTCTGCCATGTACTAGATAGGCTTGCAATTTTGAGTTTTCACAAGGAAGTCATTTCAGATTATTAGCCTCACCTCTAATAATCACACCCATTCACCCAAATTCAAATCTTGTTTTTCTTTACACAGTCAACTTAAAACAAAGCACTGAAAAAGTATGGCGTTTCAGCAGGGGTGAGGAAGCTGGCGTCTTCCAGATGTTGTTGGACTACAACTCCCATCAGCCCCAGTCAGGGTGGCCAATGATCAGTGATGATGTGAGGTTGTAGGTCCAACAACATCTGGAGGGCCATAGCGTCTCCATTTCTATCTCACAGGTGGAGGGAATTGGGACTGAATCCTGGTACTCTTGGTGATATTTTCATTTTCAAGCAAGCAAACTTTTCAGTGTTTTGTGGACTCTCACAACTTATATTGGGCAGAAACCACTTGTGGGTCCAGCTGAAAGGAACGGGAATTGAACGGTACCATGGTGAAAGTAAAATGACACCTTCAGCAGTATAGAAAACAGGTACACTGCGAGAAACAGGGACACATTCCATTGTAGACTTCTCCTGTGTTTGTACAACTCAGGACAATTTTTCATGAGAATGTAAGATGTAGGAATGAGAGTCTCAATTTATTATTTTAGCCACATTGATAAATACAAGATCATCATTAGGTAGTAGCGGCCTCAAATATAAAATGTAGTTTGTATCTTAAATGAAAGTTATAAAAAAGTAAGAGATATCTTTACTTAAATATGTAGAAGAGCATATCAGGTGGAATTTACATATTGACAATATATTAAAAACATGAAATAGATTGTGAGGAGTGGGGAAGGTATTTAGTGGGGACTTGGCAATTTTCTCTTTGGCAATACTGGCTAATTAGTTACTTGTTATTAAGAAGCCTTTTTAGATTCCAATATCTCCTTAACCATGTAATACTGACTGAGGAGGGGCACAAACTAAACCCCAAAACCTAGCCTTCACGTTTATTGCAGAATTCATGTCAGCAGGAAAGCTGTTTTTGAAGAAAAACCAGGAACCAATATAGGACACATTAGTTGATACAAGTGCAGCTATAGGGGATTAATCACAATTCTTAAAACATTGGCAGGGTTCAGTCATAATAATTAGTGGTGTGTGCATTACCATTTCTCCTCCTTCTCTTCCTTAGAAGCTTTCACTTCCATTTCCAATTATTCACTCTATTGCATTATTTCCAAACCCTAAACTGTGGTTAATCTTAACTATGGTTTATTTCAACAATAAACCAGGGTATTGAACTTGGTTTTATTTTAATGGAAAACATAGTTAAGTCCAAACACAAGGTTGCCTGGTTTTAGATGTTATGCTAAACTGTTTTTAACAAAAAAATGGTGGGGAAAGTTTTTAATTTCATCTTCACAACCAAGCTGAGGCACAGGTGGTGTGTGGTGTGTGCATGAGCATGAAACTTCACCAGGCTCGTTCATGAAACAATAAACAACTCTCTGATTTACAATCAAAATAACATTTTAAACAACCAATGCAATGTAGTTAAGCAAACTGACCAAGGTAAGAATCTAACCTGGAGGACCTGGAAGGGTCAGAGTTCACCAAAGCCCAATGATCGATGTTAGGGGGGGATAGCAGACACCACACAGTGCAAAATAAGATTATTAGTTAGAAGTAGTACAGAAGAGATATTGATACTAAACAGTGCAAACCATTTCACCAGCATATTTTGTATTTACAACACAGCAAACATGCATACAAGGAGAATGCCCCCCAGGTCAGTATACATAAATAAAAATATGGGTGTATAACTTAGCATAATTTATATATAGATATACAACTTATTCTGGTGATTAGGCTGCTATGACCAATGTGAAGCAAGCCACTGAATCTAAAACTTTGTTGAAGTTCTGGTTTTAATAATGCAGCCTGAGGCTTGCTATCTATTAGTTCTACATAAACAAAGACAAGTACTATTGCAACCATTTCACTGACAGTGCTGCATGAGAGGGCAACCTGGTTAAAATAAGTTTGCCTGTGATTTTTCCATTTGCATCGTAAGGGGAAGCAGCCTCTTCTTGGACCACCAAAGTGCTTCTGGGCAACAAAATGATTTAGAAATTTGAGGAAAAAAGCAAAGTAATGCAAGGCTCGATATAAAATTAAATGGATAAGCACCAATAATTTCTCATTCATGAGCAGAACACTGGTTAATTATTAATATTTTGTATTTGTTAATATTCAAAGATATTCATGGTTTTACAGTCATACCTTGGGTTGCGAACGCTGTGGGTTGTGCCTTTTTGGGTTGTGGACCGCGCCGAACCCAAAAGTACCGGAACGGGTTACTTCCAGGTTTTGGCGCTCACACACGCGCAGAAGCACAAAATGACGTCACGTGCATGCCCAGAAGTGCCAAATCGCATCACGCACGTGCACAGACGCAGTGCTGCGGGTTGCGAACGTGCCTTCCCTATGGATCATGTTCGCAACCCGAGGTATGACTGTAGCTGAATACAACTCAACAGTATCCAGCTACCCATAAGCATTTATTAATATCATTTAATTACTTAGTTAATAATAAGATTAATAATATTTTTAAAAATAGCACAAAGGCCTATTTGCTGTGTACATCTATTAATTTTTAAATTATTTCCAGTTGTTCCTGCTGATACAAATTCCTTTTTCTTCTGTTATGCCCTCAACACAGAACATGTCAGTGAAATATTCCAAAAATATACATACTCCATGCAACGTTCAATTATAAAACAGAGTTTATATATGCATATGTAAGTTTTATCTCACTCATTCTTTCATTCTCTTTATACTTTGATAGTCATATTATATTAATATTAAACAAAAGATGAGGCTAATGTAAACATTTTAGAATATAATAGAATGGAAGTTTTGCTATGGCTTTAAATAAGGACAATTTCAATGGTTGGTCCATGTTGCCCTACCAGGGCACTATAGTACTGAGTATGGCTTCTCAGCTATCTTTTTTTTTAAGGTCTAATTGTAGATTTACTCAACCACAGATGGTTGCTATATTAATTTAATGCCTGGAATTAAAACAGTGTTTTTTGGCTGGGGTGAAGACGTTTTGCTTTTTAAAAGCCATCACAGCAAAACTTTCAAGACTTCATCCAAACACATCTAATACTTAGGTGTATGCCAAGTCATTCCTATTCTATGGAACAGTGTTAGAAGTATTTTAATGAGGTCTGACTAACACTACATTAGAACAGAACAGCTACAATGTTCAGTGAAATCAGAGCAGAGAAGAAGGTTGTGGAAAAACAGCACAGCCATTTGCAAGTCTACTCTGAAGTAAGTTTCTAATGAGTTCCATGGGATTTACTTCTAGGTAACTCTGTATAAGACCAAAGTCTAAGGCTGTTACAAACAAGGTACGCAAGGTTAGTAAAATAAAATAAGTTCAACTACAATATGTTAAAACGAGATCTACATATTATGGGATCCATAGAAATATAACTTTGAGTTGCCTGTTTAGTAGCAATGGTTTGGGCACTGTCCTGAAATTTATCCAGGAGTAATGTGCAGAGGGATAAAACACACTTTGCTACAGATCAGCAAAAGGTATAGTCTTAACTTTTTTGTTTTATATTAGTATCCTGCTTCACTGCAAAATCCTCATGAAATAGTAACAGGTTGAATATCAGCATAGCAGAGGATCATAGTAAGTCAGTTTACACAAGGCAAGATATTAACTAGTAGAATACAATAAGGATACATAGAGAGACCAGTGATATTTAATTAATTTTGTAAATTAATTTTAAAAATCTGCAGTCAGGGCTGTGCACTGAGGTAGTGAAGTCTGCAGAAAACATAAAACCATTCCAGATGGTGAAATCCTATCTAGTAGGTAAGTGAGGAATCAATTCTGACCATCAACAATTTGGTTTGGGTAAAATATCAGAAGCCAGCTTATGCACAAACCCTGCTCACCAAGTGTAAGAAACAGTAGGCAGTGGCCTTTGGTGAACTGGCAAATGGCGGATCTGCATTCTTCCAGTCTAAAAAAGGAGAGTTTGTCCTGCCATTTTCAAAGATCTCAGAAGCCCGCTCTATAGTAACTCGGAACAGAGCTTTTTAGTGTGGCTGCTCCTGTTCTGTGGAATAGCATTCCTGTCAAGAAGCAAAAGGCACCTACTTTTTAGAAACAACTGGAGACCTTTCTTAAGCTGGATAAATGAGTCTTTACCATGAGTGCCCACTGGTTAGGGATTTAGTTTTGTTTTAAATATAATTGTTGTTCTGTGTTTTTAACGGTTTCAGTTGTCTTATGTGTGAATCGCCTTGAGATGGTGGGTTAGAATATGATTATTAATAATAATGATTAATTATTGTAATAATAGCAACAATAATAGGAGCACACAACCTTGTGTGAGTGGTCTTGGGTTACACTGCCCATGTGAGCAGTGCTTTTGTGCCAACAACATGTCATTGGAATTAACCAAGTCAAAAAATGGAAAGGGGATGTTTGCTAGGCCATGATCCGAAAATGTGTATATAGAAAAATTGGGAGTAAAAATCTATAAAAATACTTATCATAAATTACAAAAAACAGGGTGATATCCAACATTAGTTAATGGGTCTACACAGAATATGACCAACACTGGATGACACCCACACACAATCCACCAAGACAATATTTTAATTGTCAAAAGGCTTTAAGTTTGATATGCATGTATAGCACTGGATATGTTCCAAATAAATTTCTCATACACAAGGTATGCCAAACTAGCTCAGTGCCAGGTTAGTTCTATAATGGATATGATGTCGGCAAATGTTTGGCAAATGATGCTGTTATCCTTTCAATCAGACTTCCAATTCTTGTAAACTGCAAGAATAACCCAGAAAATTGTTATATGGCCTCATGTTCAAGTGACATGTTGAGTTGGAATCAACATTGCAAGACATTTGCCCAAGCCCTGACAATGATCTCCATGGGTAGCAGAATTGTCAATAAGAGTCCTGCACTGACTGACAGTGTAGTGTAGTGTAGTGTAGTGTAGTGTAGTGTAGTGTAGTGTAGTGTAGTGTAGTGGTTAGAGTGCTGAACTAGGACTTGGGTTTGACTCCCTACTTAGTCATGAAGCCCACCGGGTGACTTGGGCCAGTCTCTTGCCTTATCTAACCTCACAGAGTTGTAGTGAGGATAAAGCAGAGTCGGAGAAGTTTGTATGCCACCTTGAGCTCTTTGGAGAAAAGGTGGGATATAAAATTGATTACTGTTATGTAAGGTTAATGACTTGGCATACCCATCCTACAGACTGAGACATTTGTTTTCATCAAAGAAGTACATTCAAGGGCATGCAAAGTTATCACACTGGAGTTAATGAGCTAACCTGTGGCACCTGGAAGGAGGGGACCAAAAGTTCACCAAGGCCATCATTAGAATGGGGAAACATCAATATGGTTAGATATGTCAATAAGTTAAACGTTTTCACAGTGATCCATCTAAAATTCCTTCTTGTATATTATGAATAGACCAAACTATTATAATCCATAGAATTTTTAAAACAACTGATAAAACTAAAAAGAGTTCAGTTTTGCAGGATGGGATGAAATGACACATTAGGAATTCTCACATCAAAAAGCAAGACCATGTAAGAATTGAAGGAAGTCCTTTACTGAATTATGTTATCAATTGCAAGAACTCATCTAATTATCTACAATTATAATGAAGATCAATAGAATGTTTGATGTATTACAGTATTTTAATTTTTTTTGGAAGCCGCGGAGTATAAATAAATAATTATTATTATTATTATTATTATTATTATTATTATTATTATTATTATTATATCCAATGCATCCATTGATCTTTGTCCAAGAAACATGCTTACGCTGGTCAACTGCATTGTGATAATATATTACAGCAGTGTGGGGGACCTTTGTCCTTCCAGATGTTGCTAACTACAACTCCCATCATCCCTTGCCAATGGCCATGCTTGCTAGGGCTGATTGTTGTAGTTCAGCAACATCTGGAGGGCCAACAACCCCTCACTCCAGTGTTACAGAGACAGTATTTAAACCATTCCTGCCCATTCAGGAGTCCTAAAATGTGGATTGACTTGAACAGTATAACAGTTTGGTCTACCCACACTGGGACATGCATGGTGGAGTGAGATGGATGTTTCATGTCGTACAGTACAGTCCACATGCAATACAAACCAAGATGGTGGGAACAAAGCCACTGAGCCATTACTGGTGTTTTCTCATCAGTCACAACCTAAAGAGGCTCCTTCTCTCCTTCTCAGTGTGAAACCAATTTAGGCTCGTATCTGTTTTACTCAGGATTATGTATACTCATTTGGGGAAGGAGGTGGTGGTGAGGAAAACAACATTTTCCGCCAGTGTAAATCAAATCCTCCTGAATCCATAGGAACTTGCCTATCAACGAAGATCTGTTCATGAGGCTCTTATCCAAGTGCCCCCACCTTTAGAAGTAAGGGAGCAATACTCAAGATCTGCTGGGATGAGTGAAGCTTGAGATAGGTGGATCTTTGGTTGAGCCTGGGCTCAGCCGGGGTTCCCAGCTCAGCCAGAGATATGCCAGCGTAAGTCCTCCACCCTGGCTCAACGAGCTGAGCTGAGGTCCCCAAAGTCCCCCCAAAAAAGTGTGGTGGGGGAATGGCAGAGGTGATTTACCACTATTTCCCCTTCCGGGTACGATTGTATGTATGCAAAGATTGGTCACATTCTGGCATGAAGTTAAGATTTGTTTATTTGTCCAGGCATGTTAACTTTTGTAGGATGATTAATGCTAAAGCTGCTGTGTTGTTTTCAGGTACTTTATTTGTTTGCTTTTATTCTGTGCTGTGTACCCTGGCTTGGTGTCTGTACTTATGAAGGGCAGGTGATAAAATATATTTAATAAATAATTTCTGCTAGCAAACAACAAGTAATTCCTACCCAAATCTGACTCCCAACTGTTGCACATTCTGTTCTGCCCATTTCCATTTCCTGAGGTTCCATCTGGTTTTGCCCAGACATTTCTGAGCCATAGCAGCTTATAAAAATGTCCTGGATTCTATCTATTTAAACCTAAATCCTATTGGGGTTTTTTGCACCTTTGTCAAACAGAGCCAGTGTGGCACAGTGGATAGAAGTTTTGGACTAGGGACTTGGGAGATCAGGGTTTAAATTCTCACTCAGCTATGAAGCTCACTGGGTGGCTTGGACCAGTCACTGCCTCCCAGCCTTGTTTACCTCACAGGGTTGTTGTGAGGATAAAATGTGGAGAAGGAGAACCATGTACACCACCATGGGAGGAAAGATGGGGGTATACATGTAATTAATTAATGATAAACCAATAATGCTTAATTACTAAGTAACAGAACACACACCTGTCTGCCATTTAGAAAACCATGATGGACAATGGCTACAGCAACAACTAGGTCATGGTTTGCCAGCTCCACTTGTTGTCGGTTTTAATGGAGTATTTTGTGGACACAGAAAACAGTATGGAAGATATATTAGCTTTCCCATCTTTTGCCAAAGAATGTTCCAGTCATTATAGAAATTTTTGTTGGACACCCAATATCAGCTCAGTGGCATTCACCCATCAAATGGGAATTATCAGTTCCAGAATTAGTACATGGCAGGTCAGCAAACAAGACGAGAGGGCACAGAACGATGAAGATGATGCAGGGGTGTATTGAATATCCGTCGGGAGTTGTGGAACGTGATGGAGCATAGATGAGCATACATGACATGAAGATGAATGAAACCATGATAAATTCTGATCATGCTGTGCTGCTAACATGGATTTGATTTCCATAGGTCTTGCGGACAGTGCATATTATTATGTTGTTGTGCACAAGATGGATTTGTTTTATCATGTGGCACCATGGTGCAGGGATGTTTGGCAGATGCAATTAAAAGTTGATTTGGGTGCTTGGCTGGATGATTGCCGTGATGACATGCGGAGGCTTATTTCAAGTTGGCAACATTTTGCAGACAGGTTATCAGTAAGGTGCTCTTTTGTTTTCACTCTTGACATGGGTACCTCTGGTTACTAACTTAATTCGTTCCGGCGGTCTGTTCTTAACCGAAACCATTCTTAACCTGAGGTACCACTTTAGCCAATGGGGACTCCCGCTGCCACGCGATTTCTGTTCTCATCCTGAGGTAAAGTTCTTAACTCGAGGTACTACTTCCAGGTTAGCGGAGTCTGTAACCTGAAGTGTTTGTAACTCGAGGTGTTTGTAAGTACTTTCAGGTAACCTCTCATGGTAAATTAAGGATACCCAGAAGACATCAGGTGCGTGTATTGCAATTTCAGCCGAACAGTATACAAGTATACTGTTCCAACAGACCAATAACCTGTCAGCAAAATGTCTGTTGAATTTTCTCTTTCTTACCTGGCCTCCCTGGTATGCCTGGTTGCCCAGGGCTTCCCTTAGGCCCTTCTGAAGGTGGTCCTGGTAGCCCTGGAGAGCCAGGGGAACCTGGAAGGCCACGGAATCCTGGACCGCCTGTTTCTCCCTTCAGACCAGGGGCTCCTGGAGGTCCTGAGGGTCCAGGTAAACCCAAGTCACCCTTCTGACCTGTTTAAGGGTGGGGGAAGAGAAGAGAGCATGTTTATAGATGCACTGCAATGTTTCAATTATCAATACTGTATACTAAAGGCAGGCAGACATCAAGCTTGCAGGATCTACATGTCCCACCCCCACCGCCGGATCCTGAGATCCATTGGGCGGAGGTAAAGTGCAAAATAGGGATCTGAGGCACACAGAAGAAAACCTTATCCCAAGTGAAAGCTGGTCCATTAAAGAGGATACTGCCCCACCAATCATAGTCTGTGCGCACCCACCCATCTTCTTCTTGCAACCAGTCAGAGGTTTTTCTGCTAGTCAGTGACTGTGGTCCCAGCCAGTGCTTTTTTTCTAAAAAAATGTTAAGGGGTACTCTCATTTTCCTACTCATACTGAAATACTGTCCCTCAATGAGGCCTAACTTAGATTCACAAAATGTTTAGGGGTATGCATACCCCTGCGTCCCCCCAGAAAAAAACACTGGTCCCACCTACTCTGTCCATTTCAATAGACACCAGCTGTAATTTCTTATACCAAATCAGGTTATGTGTTCATGTTACTAAGAAACATCTCTTTTGAATAGTAATGGTTCTCCAGGTTCTCAAGCAGAGGTCTTTGCTACCTGATCATTTTTTAACTGGAGAAATCCATGATTGAACCTGGGACCTTCTGCATGCAAAGCATGTGTCCTGCCACTGAGCTATGATCCCTCTCTTTCATGAATGAAGAAAAATAAACTTTGCCTGAGAGTCCTGGGAGTCCAGGAGGTCCGGGGCGTCCAAAACCTGGTTGACCTAAAATACACAATCGCCATAGACAGGTTAGTTATAGATCTGTGAATGCAGTACTTGCTGCTAGAGGCAAACACTTTTAACCAATGAGTGCATCTATGGTAGAACTGCCACCTCAAGTGTTTGTATCAGAAAGAGAAAAGAAAACATTGTAAGAGATGGAAGGTGCTGACCTGGTTCGCCTTTCTGTCCTGCTGGTCCAGGAATGCCATCCCGTCCAGGCTGTCCTTTTTCCCCTACGAGGCCGGGAGGGCCAGGGTGGCCAATGTCACCTAAAAATAGTAGAAAGAGTATATTACAAATATTGGATTTCATTACTGATCCTCATACTGACCTATGGATGCATTCTGAACAGCTACCAAGATAAGGAGGACATAGGCATGGCCTGCTGGATCAGACCAGTGGTCCATCTAGTCCAGGATCCTTTACTGGCAGGGGCCAGCCAGATGCCTGTGGGAAATATGCAGGCAGGATACAAGCACAATTCCCCCCTCCTATGGATTCCAGCAACTGGCATTCAGAAGCATTTCTCCCTCTGCTTGTGGGTGCAGAACATAGGCATGGTGGTAAGTATCCACTGATAGCCTTGTTCTCCCACGAATTTGTCAGATCCTCTTTTAAAGCCATCTGTGTTGGTGGCCATCACTGCCTCCTGCGGCAGCAAGTTCCATCATCTTCACTACACACTGCATGAAGAAGAAGCATTTCCCTTCCTAGTGTCTATGAGAGAGGGAGAAAAACATTTCTCTGTCCACTTTCCCCATGCCAGGCGCAATTTTATAAACTTTTATCATGTCGCCTCTTACTCACCTTTTCTCTAAACTAAAAAGTCCCAAACACTGAAACCTTTCTTCATAGGGGAGAGTCACTCCATCCCCTTGATCATTTCTGAATGCTTCCCAACTCTACAATATCCTTTTGGAGGCAAGGTGAGCAAAACTCAGTATTCCAAATGTGGTCGCACCATAGTTTTGTTTATCATCCATCTTTACCTTAAGACCGTTTGCTTCAGCGATCAAAACATTCCCCTTACTTTGGTGTATGCAGAGAACTATAAAACCTATTTGAGGGGTGAAAATGCTCAGTTCCATCCATCGCTGTATTAACAGCATTTTATAAGAGCCAAGTAATCTACTGGTACTTCAAGATAGCTCACAAAATTTGCCCTTGGATTTGACGGTTCTCAGTCTTGTTTCTGGGGTACTGTCAATGCATTACTTATCTATCAATCTTCCTCTTTAAAAATTAAGGATATTGGTTTTTTGGTTTTTTAAAAACCCTATAGTATATTAGATTTGTTTCAATAAAACATTATAGTCCCTTATTCCCCTTACTAACCCCTACTGGCTACCCTCTACGCTCATGCCTATTGTTGGTGTTATAGCATTTTCATTTCTGATGTTCGGTTGCTTAGTGTACCATATTTTCGCTCCATAGGACGCACTTTTTCCCCTCCAAAAATGAAGGGGAAATGTGTGTGCATCCTATGGGGCGAATGCAGGCTTTTGCTGAAGCCTGGAGAGCGAGAGGGGTCGGTGCGCACCAATCCCTCTCGCTCTCCAGGCTTCGCGCAGCTCTCCGCAAGGCGCTGGAGCCCGGCACTGGGCTCCCACGGCTTGCGGAGAGTTGCGTGTTCTGGGGGCTGGGGTCGGGGGAAGCTCGGGCTCAGCCCTGCGCCTGGGGGGGAAATAATTCCCCCCCTTTATTTCCCCCCAAAAAAACTAGGTGCGCCTTATGGGACGGTACATCCTATAGGGCGAAAAATACGGTATATTCTGCTGTTATGTGTGCAGTTTGCCTGAGTTCTTATAGATTCATAGAGGTGGAAGGAACCTCAAACACCATCTAGTCCACCTTGGCTAACACAGGAAACCTACTGCTACAGCATCTCTAGTAGGAGGACCATCTAGCTTCTGTAACAAAAGTTACTAGTCCACATCTCCCCCTGTTAAACAGCTTGTACCACCAGAAAGCTCTTCATGTCTATTTCATCAAATTATGTCCAAATCAAAAATATTTATTATTATGGTCAATGACCAGATTTAAAAGTCATGTCCATCCACTTCAATGGGTCGTTGGAGACAGCCCATTGTTTGGGCTCTTGTCCAGACTAAACATATTCAGCTCCTTCAACCTTTTCCTCATAGATTTGGTCTCCAAGTCCCTCACGTTTTTGTCACCATTCTCTGGCTATATCCCAATTTGTCACCAGCTTCATAAACTGTGGTGCCCGGAACCTGACACAGTACTCAAACTGATCTCCCCATCTCCTTTCATTTTTGATAAAGATTGCTGAAGCCACCAATTCAGAGCACACACAAAAATAATCAAAGCTTGTTTAAATAGCAGCACACAAAGGAATCCTGATATGATCACACCATTGTATCATAATTTCTTTGTGTTCTGCAATTCAATCCCTGTGCACATGGTCAAGTATGCCTCAGTAATCTGTTAAAAAAGAAAAAAGACACAAGCTGAAAACTGTAGCAAACTGCACATGCCAGTTAAAATATCGATTTTAGAAATTCCCCAATTTAAACCAGAAGGCAGCAGCCTTTGAGTATGAGGCAGAAGGAACCCAGAACATAATGGAACAGAAAAAATAAGTTCATTTCTGTTTCCAGCTTAAGCTCTGAAACTACTATACTAAACAAGCTTTCTATGCCTTCAAATTTGCTCTTATTGAATATCTAAACTCTCTAATGTGTATAAAACTAGTAAAGAACTATCAACAGTATTATTATTTTATTGTGAGCATTAAATATTTCAAAATGACTGAATGGTTCACATCTTTCTTCCTCCCACACACTTTTTCCGGTGCATGAAGGTTGAATTCACAAACAATTGTCACGGTCTTCTATAGTGTTCATTGCCACAAAGACAGGTTCTCTCTTGGTAGGATATATTGTGATCACAATAATGCATTTATCAGGGAGAAATTTAAATGGTTAAATAGCTCTATTTGACAAATGAAACTCAGCATCAAGTTGCACTTAAATGTTTTAATCCCTGACATCAGTTTGTATGAGCAGTATTTGTTAATGTATCAATCTATTTAAAAAAAATATGTAAAGGACCCCTGGACGGTTAAGTCCAGTCAAAGGAGACTATGAGGTTGTGGTGCTCATCTTGCTTTCAGGCCAAAGGAGCTGGCGTTTGTCCACAAACAGCTTTCTGAGTCATGTGGCCAGCATGACTAAACCGCTTATGGCACAATGGAACACTGTGACGGAAGCCAGAGTGCATGGAAACGCCATTTACCTTCCCGCCACAGCGGTACCTATTGATCTACTTGCACCGGTGTTCTTTCAAATTGCTAGATTGGCAGGAGCTGGGACAGAGCAACGGGAGCTCATTCCATCGCAAGGATTCAAACTGCTGACCTTCCGATTGGCAAGTCCAGAAGGCTCAGTGGTTTAGACCACAAGCGCCAGTCACAATCTATTGTCTACTAAGAGACTGAGAGAAATCAAAGCCACTGGCTTCATCTGTGGAATCAAAATTGGGATTTATTCTCAAAATACTGAATCCTTATTCCAAATCATTTACAGGTAAGGTATACTAACTACCTGTCACCTGCATTTGCATTCAGGAAAAGGGAAAACATTTCACAAATTTACACGTCTCTACTAGAACTCCCTACATAATACTGTTGTGATATTGCTGCCTGATTACTGTTTAAAGGGCCAGCGCAGGGGGTTTTTTGGGGGGAAGAGGTAAAAAAAGGGGGTGCTACACTCATATCTTGATACAAGTGCCATGGGTATGCCAGCACACAATTGCTGCCATTAAAGGAATGTTCATAGTTCAAAAACAGGTAAGCTTGGCACCTGCATCTTCTCAACACTCAAGGTAGTGGGGAATATGTAATAATACTTTTATTTGTAATTAATAAAAAAGATTAACAGATATTACACATACCTGGAGGCCCAGGTGACCCTGGAACACCTGGATTACCTGGGGGTCCATCAATACCTTTTGGTCCTGGAATACCTGGTGTACCTGTGAAAACAGAGTTTATGCAATCCTCATCTTTTCAAATACAGCTATGTTGATTCTCCAGGTAAAGCCTGTCCAAAGCAGCTTTCACAACAAAGCATAATAACAACTATAAAGAAAACATTATTATGTAAAAACCACAGAGCTGTAGATAACAACAACACAATTTAAAAATACAAACAGCAAAGTAGGATGGAAACTGTAGTACCTGGTGCAAGAATTGCAATTCAGGCATGGAAAAAGTGGCAAAGCAACATGATGTTAAAATGTGGTGCTTTTGATTTTATGTATCTTTCTTTACAAGAGCAAATATGTAAAGGAAAAGGAAAGGCATTTCTGCCTTTGTCTATGGGGCCTTAATAACAGTCCTATTTGTTTTACGATGTTGACAGTGTATACATGCCAATAAAAAGGGAAGCATAAACAGGGCCGGATTAACCAGAATGTTATAGCCTTAGGCTCTCAAATTTCGTTAGGCCCTTCAGTTTCCCATTTCAACAACAATGTCAACTGGTGTCCTTGGGCCCTTGTTCTCCACTTTGCCTCATCTTCCTTCTAGGCTGTTGTGAAAATAAAAAGGAAGAAAAATCTATTATGCAAGTCTGCCACCATGAGCCTTACAGAGGAATGACACCACACTTGACTGCCACAGCCAAACTGAGGAAAAGGGGAAATCAGTGGAGACAATGATTTATTGTTTGAATACTTTCTCTTTGATTTGAGCTGCTTTGTTAATTTTAGATCATGTTATGACTTTATGATTTATCTACTTTAATATACAGTATATAACACTTAGGGCCTTCCCATCTATCAGCCTAAGGCACCACAGATCCTTAATCCACGCCTGAACGCAATCAAGAGTTACAGCAATAACCGGACATAAACACTCCATGTATTTCCAACCACATCTGCTGAATAGTGTTAAAAAAGTGAAACAGTTAAAAAAGTGAAACAGTTAAAAAATTATTTATTTTTATTAGTAAAGGTAAAGGTACCCCTGCCCGTACGGGCCAGTCTTGCCAGACTCTGGGGTTGTGCGCCCATCTCACTCAAGAGGCCGAGGGCCAGCGCTGTCCGCAGACACTTCCGGGTCACGTGGCCAGCGTGACATCGCTGCTCTGGCGAGCCAGAGCCGCACACGGAAACGCCGTTTACCTTCCCGCTAGTAAGCGGTCCCTATTTATCTACTTGCACCCGGGAGTGCTTTCGAACTGCTAGGTTGGCAGGCGCTGGGACCGAGCAACCGGAGCGCACCCCGCCACGGGGATTCGAACCGCCGACCTTCCGATCGGCAAGTCCTAGGCGCTGAGGCTTTTACCCACAGCGCCACCCGTGTCCCTATTTATTTTTATTACTATCATTTAATTATTTCACCCCGTTTCATTTCATTGGATTGAACTGACATCTTTACAATTTTTCTTTTAAATTTTATATATAAATTTAATATATAAATTTAATATATGCATAATCAGGGAGAGAAAAATTACTTGTTCCAGGAGCTGAAGTGTGAGAACCATGGAGGAAAAACAGAAGAAATAACAGTGAAATTCAATGGAAATTAATTACCTGGGAATCCAGGGAGGCCAGCATCACCTTTTGCACCTGGACCGCCAGCTAAACCAGGCAGCCCAGGATTGCCAGGAGAACCTTTGTTGCCAGGACTACCTGTATATCCAGGCAAACCAGGGTCACCCTAGGGGGGGGGAAAGGAAGAAAGGTTTATGCTTGACTGAGGCAAACACAACTAAGGCCACATTCACACCATTCATCTGAAGCACTATGATACCATTTTAAACAATCATGGCTTCTCCCAAAGAATTATGGGAGCTAAGAGTGCAGAACCACAATTCCCAGAGGTCATTGGGAAGAACAATTGGTCATTAAATCACTGAAAAAACTGTAGCCCCATGAGGGAAACGGGGGTGGGGGGGTGGGTTCTCCTAACAACTCTAAGTACCTTTAACAAACTATACTTTCCATAATTATTTGGGGAAAACCCTGGCTGTTCAAAGTAGGGTCACAATGTTTATTAAATGTATAATGTAAATGTGGCCTAAGAGTATTGTAAAAATTTCAGGACTAGCAAAGAGTTGGAATACCAGGAGGTACCCTTTCCCACGCCTCCCTGTGCCATTCCAGAAGCCAATTTCATCAGAAGAACTTCATATTTTCCCACTCTCAGTTCTTTTCACTATATACCAAAAGTGAACTCATTCTCCAAGTGTGGGTATCTATGTGTCTTCATCAACATGTCAAAGAGCAGTCTTCTCCCTAGCCTGGTGCCCTGCAGATGTTGTTGGACTTACATGTCCCATCAGCCTCAGCCAGCATGGCCAATGGTTAGGGATGATGGGCAAAAGGTTAGGGACAGCTCCACAAGGAGGAGGCATCAGCAGGCTTGAGGAAATTCCAAGGTTTACAGAAAGTGGACTATGCTTAGCGGGCATGGGGGATGGAGTGTGCTGATAGTAGTAGTAGTAGTAGTAGTAGTAGTAGTAGTAGTAGTAGTAGTACTAATTTATTTGTACCCCGCCCATCTGGCTGAGTTTCCCCAGCCACCTTGGGTGGCTTCCAACAAAGATTAAAAATACATTAAAATGTCACACATTAAAAGCTTCCCTGAACAGGGCTGCCTTCAGATGCTTTCTAAATGTCAGGTAGTTATTTATCTCTTTGATATCTAATGGGTGGGCATTCCACAGGGTGGGCACCACTACCGAGAAGGCCCTCTGCCTGGTTCCCTGTAGCTTTGCTTCTCGCAATGAGGGAACTGCCAGAAGGCCCCCGGCGCTGGAACTCAGCGTCCGGGCAGAACGATGGGGGTGGAGACGCTCCTTCAGGTATACTGGACCGAGGCCATTTAGGGCTTTAAAGGTCAGCACCAACACTTAGAATTGTGCTCGGAAACTTACTGGGAGCCAATGTAGGTCTTTCAAGACTGGAGTTATGTGGTCTCAGTGGCCGCCCCCAGTCACCAGTCTAGCTGCTGCATTCTGCATTACTTGTAGTTTTTGGGTCACCTTCAAAGGTAGCCCCACACAGAGCACATTGCAGTAGTCCAAGCGGGCAATAACTAGAGCATGCACCACTCTGGTGAGACAGTATGCGGGCAGGTGGAGGTGGTAGACAGCTGCCCTGGATACAGAATTGACCTGCATCTCCATGGACAGCTGTGAGTCCAAAATGACTCCCAGGCTGCACACCTGGTCCTTCAGGGGCACAGTTACCCCATTCAGGGAGTCCTCCACACCAGCCCACCCCTGTCCCCGAAGAACAGTACTTCTGTCTTGTCAGGATTCAACCTCAATCCATTAGCCGCCATCCATCCTCCAACTACCTCCAGGCACTCACACAGGAACTTCACCACCTTCACTGGTTCTGATTTGAAAGTTCAAGAAGGACACTGACAAACTGGAACATGTCCAGAGGAGGGCAACCAAAATGGTCAAAGGCCTGGAAACGATGCCTTATGAGGAACGGCTAAGGGAGCTGGGCATGTTTAGCCTGGAGAAGAGGAGGTTAAGGGGTGATATGATAGCCATGTTCAAATATATAAAAGGATGTCACATAGAGGAGGGAGAAAGGTTGTTTTCTGCTGCTCCAGAGAAGCGGACACGGAGCAATGGATCCAAACTAAAAGAAAGAAGATTCCGCCTAAACATTAGGAAGAACTTCCTGACAGTAAGAGCTGTTCGACAGTGGAATTTGCTGCCAAGGAGTGTGGTGGAGTCTCCGTCTTTGGAGGTCTTTAAGCAGAGGCTTGACAACCATATGTCAGGAGTGCTCTGATGGTGTTTCCTGCTTGGCAGGGGGTTGGACTCGATGGCCCTTGTGGTCTCTTCCAACTCTATGATTCTATGATTCTATGAAAGAGAAGTAGAGCTGGGTATCATCTGCATATTGATGGACACCCAGTCCAAACCCCCGATGATCTCTCCCAGCGGCTTCATGTAGATGTTAAAAAGCATGCGGGAGAGGACGGAACCCCAAGGCACCCCACAAATGAGGGCCCAGGGATCTGAACACTCACCCCCCCCCACTTTCTGGACACAGCCCAGGAGAAAGGAGCGGAACCACTGTATAACAGTGCCCCCAGCTCCCAGCCCCTCTAGACGGTCCAGAAGGATGTTATGGTCGATTGTATCAAAGGCCACTAAGAGATCCAGCAGAACTAGGAAACAGCTCTCACCTTTGTCCCTAGCCCACCAGAGATCATCAACCAGCGTGACCAAGGCAGTTTCAGTCCCATGATGAGGCCTGAATCCCAATCGGAAGGGATCCAAATGGTCCACATCCTCCAGGTGTGCCTGGAGTTGTTTAGCAACCACCCTCTCAATCATCTTGCCCAAGAATGAAAGATTTGAGACTGGGCGATAGTTGGCCATACTGGCCAGGTCTAAATATGTTTTTTAAGAAGCGGTTTAATGACCGCCTCTTTCAATGGGTCTGGGAATGCTCCCACAAAGTGAAGCATTCACCACCCTGCAAAGCCCATCGCCTAGCCCTTCCCAGCTTGCTTTTATTAGCCAGGATGGGCAAGGATCAAGGAGACAGGTGGTTGGTTTCACGCGTCCAAGCAGCCTGTCCACATCGTCGGGCGTAACGGATTGAAATTGATTCCATGCAACTTGACCAGACAGGGCTCTAACACTCTCCTGCCCCGGCTCTGCATGATAGAAGGCATAGCTGGCTGGCTTGAACGATCCACACTCTATTTTACTGCTGGACTCACTTTTTTGTGTATTGCCTTATTGCTCTTCACTGTTACGTACTATCCTTTGAACGCTGTGATGGAATAACCCATTTGGAAGCCAATCTTGGGAAGAAAGCAGGGTATGTTTATATAAATTGTAGAATATCCTATATTGTAGATGGAGGGGAAGCCATAAAGTGAAAAGGGGCTTCATCGTTTTCCATCTCTCTTACTGACATCTCAAAGTATTATAATATCCCCAGTCCCCTCTACCCTATAAAAAGCGTTGTTCAGAATAGCAGATTGCATGACCTAAGGAGAACAACACAATATAATTCAAAACAATAACTATTAATTGCACATTTATGCAAAATTCAATTACAGTGGTACCTCAGGTTACATACGGTTCAGGTTACAGACTCCGCTAACCCAGAAATAGTGCTTCAGGTTAAGAACTTTGCTTCAGGATGAGAACAGAAATCGTGCTCTGGCAGCGCGGCGGCAGCAGGAGGCCCCATTAGCTAAAGTGGTGCTTCAGGTTAAGAACAGTTTCAAGTTAAGTACGGACCTCCGGAACGAATTAAGCACTTACCCTGAGGTACCACTGTAAAACTATTTAAAGTGGTGCCCTGCAAGACGAATGCCTCGCAAGACGAAAAACCCGCTAGATGAAAGGGTTTTCCATTTTTCGATGCGCTTCGCAAGACAATTTTCCCTATGGGCTTGCTTCGCAAGACGGAAATGTCTTGCGAGTCTTGCGATTTTTTTCGCTCCCCCCCTTTTTCTAAGCCGCTAAGCCGCTAAGCTGCTAATAGCCTTTTAGCCGCTAAGCCGCTAAGCCTTTAATAGCTGCTAAGCTGCTAATAGCCTTTTAGCCGCTAAGCTTTTAATAGCCGCTAAGCCGCTAATCCGCTAATAGGGTTGCTTCGCAAGACGAAAAAACCGCTAGACGAAGAGACTCGCGGAACGGATTATTTTCGTCTTGCGAGGCACCACTGTAGTATAATTCATTCAACAACAAAAAACTTGATCCAATGATACCAGCTTTTGAAAATCTGACAGTCATTTGCACCTCCAGCAACCCTGCTGCCCCCCCCTTGTCCCTTTAGTAATCCCATTGTCCCCAGGGGGCAGTACCCCTCACTTTGGGACCCACTGGTCTACACAGAGTATGGCTAATGCTAGCTATCACACTGTTATCTTTTCTTAGACTGTTATATACCGTATTTTTCGCCCCATAGGACGCACCGGCCCATAGGACGCACCTAGGTTTTTTTGGGGGGGGGGAATAAAGAAAAAAAAATATTTCCCCTCCAGGTGCGGGGCTGGGGCGGGGGAAGCCCGAGCTTCCCCTGACCCCAGCCCCCAGAACAGGCTGCTATCCGCAAGCCGTGGGAGAGCTACGCAAAGCCGGAAGCCTGGGGTGTGCTGAGCTCAGCGCACCCCAAGCTTCTGGGTGCAGGCAAGCTCTCTGCTAGCCGTGGGAGAACTGCGTGACTCTCCCATGGCTGAGCTTAGTGCGCCCTAGGCTTCGGGGCGCAGGCAGCTCTCCGCAAGCCGCGCAGATAGCTTCCTGAAGCCTGGAGAGCGAGAGGGGTCGGTGTGCACCGACCCCTCTTGCTCTCCAAGCTTCAGCGAAAGCCTGCATTCGCCCCATAGGACACACACACATTTCCCCTTCATTTTTGGAGGGGAAAAAGTGCGTCTTATAGGGCGAAAAATACGGTATTTAAAATTGCAATGAAGAAAAAATAAATTGTGTTATGTTTCATGGGCCATAACCAACTTCATCTGATGCATGGAGTATTGTCCTAAGTTGGCAAATATACTAACGCACATAGAGAATGAAGGCTGGAATAGTGTTAGGAATGGGGCCAAAGGAAAAAAAAAAGATATGCAAGTGGCACACCCTGTGATATTTCTAAGTAAAAGTATTCAAGATAGATGTGTAGGAATAGAAGGCAAAGAGTTATTGGACACCAGCTGTTGCAAGGCCTTCAGGCTCCATGGCTTTCACTCCCTCCCTTCTCTCCCCATGTATGTTACACATGCCAACAGATGATCACCCATAATACCATAGGAAGAGTCCAGCTGGATCAGACCAAAGATGTATCTAGTCCAGGGTCCTGTTCTCACCATGGCCAACCAGATACCTATCCAGATGATGTGCTCAACAGCACTCTCCTACACATAATCCCCAGCAACTAGTATTGAGAAGCATGCTGCCTCTGAAACAGCAGATAAATGAGCCTTCATGACGACTAGCCATTGATAGCTTTATCCTGTACAGTGGTACTTCGGGTTACATACGCTTCGGGTTACAGACTAGTACCTTGGGTTAAGAACTTTGCTTCAGGATGAGAGCAGAAATCGTGCAGCGGTGGCGCGGCAGCAGCAGGAGGCCCCGTTAGCTAAAGTGGTGCTTCAGGTAAAGAACAGTTTCAGGTTAAGAACGGACCTCCGGAACGAATTAAGTACTTAACCCGAGGTACCACAGTATGAATTTGCCTAATCCTCTTTTAAAAGCATCCAAGCTGGTGGCCATCACTGCCTCTTTTGGGAGCAAATTCCAATTTTACTATGTGCTATGTGAAGAAGTACTTCTTTTTGTCTGCCCTGAATCTTCTAACATTTAACATTCAGCTTCCTTGGAACTAAAAAGCTTCACTTCATCCTCCTGATGAATTGGGCTCTAATCCATGCAAATTTCTGCCACAATAAAATGTTTACTCTTTCAGATGTCACAAGACTCTTTCTTGGCAACAGACCTACACAGCTTTCCCTCTGGTGTATGATTCTATGTTATTTTTGCATGCAGTGCATGTGATCCAAAAGCCCTGATGGAAACATAGGGTCTCAGATGTGCACGCGCAAAAATGAGTGTGCATGCATGTGCAGAGTGTTCCCACAGCAAAGAAAAGGCTCTTTCGTGAGCAGAAAAAAAGAGTTGTCCTATGTGCTGAATGGGCCAGGAAGTTCTTTTATGCACCAGAGCCCTGCAAACTGGATCCTACAAGAAGTAGTGATGGCTTCCAACTTTAAGAGAGGATTAGATAAATTCATGGATGGTAAGACGATGAATGGCTGCTAGCCACAATGACTATGTCCGACCTCCACTGTCAGTGGCAGGGTGGCTTTGAATGCTAGCTGCTGGTTTTCAGCACAGGTCCTGGTTTTGGGCTTCCAACAGGCATCTGGTTGGTGACTATGAGAAAAGGATGTTGACTAGATAGGCCAGCAAGACTCTTGTTAGGTTCTTAATTTTTTCTAATAGAGGCAAGCAAGTGCACGTCAGTATTGGTATGCTTGAGGCACACCAATTTCAGTGTGTACTGGATTATGCCCACAATAATCCTATGATGCAACAGGAATCCATTATGACAGCAAGCAAACCTTTCCCCTACATTTGTTCATTTTTCAGAATCTGTTTCACTTCTGCCAGAGATGGTCAGAGGCAAAGAGCTGGGTAGGGTATTGGAGTCCTGCCCTTGTACATTAGAAATAGTGCTCTTAATTTGAAATAACATTTTGACAACATACCTTAGGGCCAGGGGGCCCTGGAATACCGATGTCTGATAGGCCTGGATCACCCTTGTCTCCCTTCAGCCCAGGAAACCCTGGCTGGCCAGGCTGGCCAGGCTGGCCTGCTATGCCTTGGAAACCTTTTTGGCCTGGAGGACCTGCCCAAAATATTAAAAAGAAAGTTTTGCAATGGCTTCTAAAGGGCTCAGTTTGCAAACTACCTATCCAGATTCAATATCTTTGAAACTGAAGGTGTGTGTGGGGGGGGAATGCTATAAGCAGGGTTTGCAACCACAATAGAATATACTTCTTTTGAAAATTGCAGAAATAAAGGACCCTAGAAAATAAGTAAGAGTTGCTCTATGTTTTGCTGCTCTGTCCAAAGTTGTCCAAAGTTCCTTACAGTATGGTATTTAATTAATGAATCAGTCAAATGTACACATGTTAACTCAGCAGCAAATAAAGTATCTAATGAGGCTTAATCTCTGGATATGTTTTAGAACTGCAGTTTAATCCCCGCCCCCTTACTGTCCAACAAACCAATAAACAGCTAAACAACCCAGGAAGAAAAATGCTTTAAATAACTACCTGGAAGTCCCATTTCACCACTGGCACCTTTCTGTCCAGGAGGTCCAGTTGGTCCTGGTGGCCCAGGAAATCCCAAGTCTCCCTTCGGGCCTAGAGAAGGCACAACCATCATAATCAGCTTGCTTCTAGGAAAATCATTTTCCCCATCAAAGACACACAAAAAGAGTCTAATACATTTATTATGGCGTAAGTTTTCATAGACTAGAACCCACTTCATCAGATGAAGTGTTTCTGATAAATTCACTTCCCTGGTTTCGGTCTTTGATGGATGCCTTGTTAACATTTTCTTAGAACGACTAACTAGAGCTGATGTTTTCTCATGATTTATCACCCTCCTCAGAGTCTCTAGAAGTGCAATCTCCATGTGAGGAGGGATTGCATTTTCTCTATTGCACATTAGAAGAAAATGCATTGCATGTGAACTCTTAAGTCACCATGCACAGCCTGCCATTTCACAAACTGCAACTATCATGACACACTTTGAACTGCTAATATACTATGGGGCACCTGCCCTAGCTGTATTGAGCTTGGCTTTTAAATAAGCAGAAGGCAGGCAGTTTAAATATAGCAAACAGCTGTGCAGTGGAGCTGTCAACAATGTGTAATAATGGGGAAATTTTAAAAGGAAAATAGGAATCTGCCTTCTCCACAGTCAGACTGTTTATCCTTCCAGCTCTGTAGTAGCTATAAGAACTAGGGTGTTAATGCATGTTACACATACCCCAATTTTCAACTGCAAAATGTTGGAGGATATTGGTATATCAGCAGAAGATCCTGGGTTTATATTGTTAATCATAAGACTTAAAACTAAGGACTGTGGAACTTCATGATTAGCATTGGCTTAGTAGGGTGGGCCATGATGCTTCTAACAATATACAGTGTGGTTGGCTGAATAATTAATTGCTTGCATGGTTTTAACTTAACAAAAAAAATGCAATAAAAGCCTGCTGGGTGAGGCTAACAGCCCATTTTGTTCTCACTGTGGCCAACTAGATGCTTGTGGGGAACCTGCAAGCAGGATACAGGCAAAAGAGCACTCCCCGCCACTGGAGTTTCTAGCAACTGGTATACAGCAGTATTACTGCCTCTGACTGTGGAAGTGACTAGTAGCCACTGACAGCCTGATTCACCTTGAATTGATCCAATCCTCTTTTAAAGCCATCCCAGTTGGTGGCCATCACTACCTCTTGTGGGAGTGAGTTCCATATGCACTCTATGAATAAGTACTTCCTTTTATCTATCCTGAATCTTCCAACATTCAGCTTCATTGAATGTCCTCACGTTTTAGTGTTATGAGAGAGGGAGAAAATCATTTCTCTATCCACATTCTTTATGCTACACATGATTTTATAAACCTTTGCTTTCCTCATATTCCTTAGTTACTGATAAATAACCAACATCCAATTGCTCAATAGGTCAACATGAATCCACATGAATCCACACATGACAAGGGGTGATATGATAGCCATGTTCAAATATATAAAAGGATGTCACATAGAGGAGGGAGAAAGGTTGTTTTCTGCTGCTCCAGAGAAGCGGACACGGAGCAATGGATCCAAACTACAAGAAAGAAGATTCCACCTAAACATTAAGAAGAACTTCCTGACAGTAAGAGCTGTTCGACAGTGGAATTTGCTGCCAAGGAGTGTGGTGGAGTCTCCGTCTTTGGAGGTCTTTAAGCAGAGGCTTGACAACCATATGTCAGGAGTGCTCTGATGGTGTTTCCTGCTTGGCAGGGGGTTGGACTAGATGGCCCTTGTGGTCTATTCCAACTCTATGATTCTATGACTCTGGCAACATTTCTAGCTCTTTTAAGAGCAGGCAAGTTCTCAGTGCTTTAGCAGAGAAGGAGAATAGAAACCTCAGCAAGATGTACAGGTGTAAGTCAATCAAGCCAACATATGTAAAATGGTTTGAAGTCAATGCAATATTTTGGTGTGCATTGTCTTCACTGATGATCTTGTGGTCACACAGCACATGCACATTTACACAAGCCATCTTCCTTACCTGGTAGTCCAGGTATCCCTGGCTGTCCAACTAGTCCAGGAGTCCCTGGGTCACCTGGAGTGCCTGGGTAGCCCTTCTGCCCTGTTAAACCAGGAATACCTTCAGGCAAAGAGACAGAGAGTTTTATTTAGGTGCACAAACAGAAACATGTTAACAGTTCCAACAGCATCATCCAATCAACCAAGCTAAGGGCCACTGCACATGGACCACAAATCCAGCAGTGCATATTCACTCACATACATCATGTGATTAGCTCCACAGCTGAACTAGTGAATGTGCTTTTCCAGTGAAAAAGATTGCAGAGCAAAAAGGACAGAAGAAAGGAAGGAAGGATTGATGCAGCCAGAAATTAAATCGAATTGTTGTAAGGATTGGGGCATGGGGAATGTCCCTTGGTCTGAAAAGAGCTGAATGGTATTACAACAGTATTACAACAGTATTACAACAGGAAGCAACACAAGAAACACAATTATCTTACCAGGAGTTCCTGGTTCTCCTTTTTCTCCTTTAGAGCCCAGCAGCCCTGGATCCATTGTTCCTGGAGGTCCAGGCACGCCTGTCTCACCTTTGCTGCCTTTTTGCCCTGCTGGTCCTGGACGACCAGGCTGGCCTGGTAATCCATCATTGCCTAAGCAGTGTCCAAACAAGAGAGTATTCATCATTGTTTCAGTCTACATTGCAAAACATTGTGAAACAGGTGGCGATCTGATCCCCTTTGCATGGTCAAAGCATTTGGTATAACACCAAAAAACCAAAAGATACATTGACTAAAATGATATTTTATTGTTCTGTACTTCCTCCAAAGTGCCTGGAGTGGTATAAATTGGAGGTGGGCAACCTCAGATCCAGAACTGACTCACCGTTTATGGACTATTTTTTAACAATTTGGGCCACCAAATTGCCAACCATCTAATGTCAGGTTATTCATATTTTAAGGCTTAGTCCTAGAGCACTAAGATTGGAGATACACCCACTGCTTGATCTTCGGCAGAAAAATAGACTGAACTTTGATCTTTGCACTTAGTGACTACAGGTGGGCTTGGTTTAACCAATACAGCCTTAGGGGCCAAATTCAGAGATTTTCTGGGTCTATTTAGGCCCGTGGGCCAGGAGTTCCCCTTCTGGCATAAATGGTCACTGCTACCCTACCCATTTTGCTTTCACTAGAACCATGTGAGCTAGGTATGGGGCAAAATCACCCAATAAGCTTCATGGCTCACTGGGGATTTGAACTCAAGTCTGCCCTGGTCCTAGTCTAATACTCTTATTACACAAAAAAAATCAGGCCATGAGGTGCTAAAACTATTATTAGGTTGCCAATATTATAACCAAATAATGTACAGAGGGAGACAGAAATCAAATGCCCTCCTCTTATATACGTGTGTTAAACAGGAAGTAAACTTGAACTTCCAGAATCTTTAAATGACCAGTTCCACATTCCAATGCTGCTTTACCTCTATGGCTATAAAAATGTAAAACAACAGTAAGGTAAAGGAGCTCTTACCTTTCATGCCAGGAAGGCCATTCCTGCCTGGGGTTCCAGGGGAACCTTGGGGACCAGGTGCACCCATCACTCCCATATCGCCTTTGTTACCTGGATGCATGGAATTACCAGTTTTATTCTGAGCAAAAACACCCTCCCCCCAAAAAATTCGCTGCTTTCTTTCCTATAGGATTAAACTGGTGAATCAAATCAGTCTATTGCACTAAAGCCATCTATTGCAATCCAAAAGCCATTCTCTCCTGCAAGCATCCACAATGTCTTCGTCTACAGAATAACCCTAGAAGATGAAAGCTCCTAGGACTTGGCTCCTAAATGTGCAACTTTTCACAAGTTCAAAAAAAGCATTCAGAATCCATATACTGGAGTTTAGCTGGAGCAGTTTGAACTACAAGTTTGTGGATGCAAAAAAACAGATTTGGAGGAAGAAAAAAGCAACTCTCTCCACTTATAGATGCCACATGCATGCATTGAAACAGGCACCACTGCAGAAGAGGAATGCCCTTTTCAGAGAGTGAAGGGAAAGTGTTTTGCTAAGTAGTCACCTGCCACCCATGGAAGCACTCAATGGGGTGAGGTCGGGGCTAAGCAGCTGAACTGGTGGCACAACCGCCAACACTAATTTAATGCTCTCACCACTGCACTCCCAAACTTATAATTGTCCTTTCCCTATCCCTGCCCAAGTAAGGAGCAGTGCCAGAGGAGAGCTTCATCCCACCACAAGCCGCACCACTGGAAGTATGTACAGGCAAAACAATAACAATAAATAAATAAATAAAAATCTGTTGCACAATTAATTGGCTGATCATGACAGTTGTCTTATTTCCCAACTGTTCATCTATGAACTAGATCAGCTGCACATGACTTCTGTTATCATGAGGCCCTGAAACTGAATTTATCTCTGGTTTAGGCTATCAGACAGCAAAAGCTTGAAATGTTCTCAGTTCTTCACCAGTGAACTAGGTTTCAATAGCTTGGTTTTACACAAGCATTTACTTGCTTCCTGCACATCAAGCCATCTCTTTAAAGCAGACTAACTCATATGGAATTGTTATTTTCTACAAGTAAAGCTCCACATGGATGCAAACAGTGTCTACACTATGCAGTTGATAGTATAAAAGGATTTACCTGGAATTCCTGGAAGTCCATCTCTTCCGACTGACCCAGGTGAACCTGGAGGTCCTGGGAGACCGGGTGATCCAGGAAATCCTTGAATGCCCCTATCTCCTGGAGGACCGGGAATGTCAAATCCTGGTGAACCAGGATCTCCCTTTTCACCTGGTATGCCCTGTAATCCTAGGCAAATATGATTAGAAAACAATCCTTTAGCAAGAAACAATTTCCAAAAGGTACTGCAGATCAACTTGTATGGGCAAGAGAAGCAGGAGAATTGTTGCAAACTGCGTCATATACATATCTTTATATCACAATATGATTATATTGCAGTATAGAGTTGACTTGTTGCCTTCATTCAACATAACCTACAGCAGAGCAGGTCTGTGATAAAAACAAGGGCTAGGACACTAGGTATCATTTTTATGTGTTTTATTTAACAAAATTTGCAAACTGATTACGTGTAAATAAAACCACAAAGCAGTTTACAAAGAGTATAAAATATAAATGAAAATTGTCCAAGTTACAAAAGGTTTTTTTTTTAAGAAAAAAAGGAATCAAAATATAAATATACCGCATTTTTTCGTGTATAGCATGCCCCCGTGAGGCCCCCTATTTTGGGAGACTCCAAATCAGGAAAATGCGGGGAGATTGCCCAGAGTTGTTGAGCTTTGGGGGGGGGCACCCAGTCCAACAACAGCCCTTGCCACAGCCAACAATCACCAGCCCAATCACCACTGATAATCTCCTGCTTGCGGCTGCAACCAATCACCCGTCCCCCCTCTGCACTATCCATGTATAAGACGAACCCCCCATTTTTAACATACTTATAAAATGAAAAAGCCTCATCTTATACATGGAAAAATATGGTAAATAAAATCAAAAGTTAACAAACACACAATCAGGAATTTAGAAATCAGGAATTCAAGACACTAGGTCTAAACAAACTGTTGAACTCTCGCTCTAAGTGAACAGAGATTATTCTAATTTTATTATTTATTCATTTGAAAAATTTTCACCCCACACTTCACCAAGCAACTCCCATTTTATGACTGATGGATCAAGAGGCAATTTGCTTTTTACTTACTGTGTTATTTGTAGGTGCCAGGTTACGCCATTTTTGTTAAGCCATAATGCATTTTCAAGGTTTGCATTGCAAGTGTTGGATGGATGCCGAATTTTAAATATTGTAAAGAATGTTTTATATGATATTCAACTATTTGTTCATTGACTTTAATTGTGTGTGTATATACGTTATTGCTGTTTTGTTTTAATTTGTATTGAAAACCACCGTGAGATAAGTATGGTATAGGTTAGTATATAAGTCCATCTTAAATAAAATAAAAATACTAACAAAAACAAATAATAATAATGCCTCAAGAAGGAAACTGCTTTGCACGCTGAAAAACTTTCAAGTAATTGAAAGAAAGATGAGCAACTTTAATTTAAAACATATTATGTTTGTCTCTGTGCTCCATTATTTTTCTTATCATTATTATTTACCAATAGCAACAAGAACTGCTATTTTAAACAAAAAAGGTAAGAAAAATAATATTTAAGGGAAGAAGGAAAAAAGCTTGAAGGAAACCACAGTACCTGATGAACCTGAGAAGTTGCAAACCCAGCACAGTAAGAACTCATCAGGAGGTTGAGGCACAGGAAGCAGTAAGGGGGTTGCGAGAATGCCATTAAGGTTAGGATACAAAAGGAAGCACATCGGTGTTAGACCAAGAAAACCAAACAAACCCTATACAAAAGGTTACAATCCACAACTCGCCAACTGGACAGAACAACCATTTAGTAAATGGGTTGTGGACTGCAAAGCATGTCACCTAACCCAAGCACAATGCCAGGCTATGCAATGTCAACACCAAAGAGACTAGACTTTGAACAGACTTGATTGAAACGTTTTCCAATGGGTGGTAACTACCACATGTGGAGAAAGACAACATATTTTTAATATAGAAAAACTCCAGTGAAGAGGCAAGCTTTTGATGCATTTATATAGCGGAATTAAATCCTAGCATATGTACATTTTGGCTTTTCTTCTTTCCAAAGTGATACCACAGCTATTGCAATGTGCTAATTTGCTGGAATGATTTTGTTCTTCAACAGAGGGGTGGGGTGGGAATTGAATAAATGGCGACACACACAAAGGAAAACGTGAACCAAGGAGACTGTCTCAAGTTTCATGGCAACCAAGACTGTTTTAACATTATTCCAACCTAACGTTAAGGCTATATGGAGAGAAATGAAGACAAAAGAATGAATGTGACATCACAACAAACAAAGATAGTTAAATGCTGATTTGTTAGTACAAGCTCTAGTCATGGACAGCATTCCATCAGGCTAACAAGAGCAGCTGTAGTTACAGTGGTATGGGAGAATGAAAAATGAACTATAAATATGTTTTGAGAAAGGCAGGTAGAATGGGCATGCGAAGGAAAATAAATGCTTGTAGAGTAAAAAATTCATCATCAAGGGTGGAAGAACCTGTGGCCCTGCAGATGTTGGTCTACAACTCCCATCATTCTTGGCCATACTGGCTAGGGCTCATGGGAACTGTAGTCCAACACTAAATCTGAAGAGCTCTAGGCTCTCTCTCCCTGAATTATATGATGGGCAAAACTCAGCGCCTGGCAAACAGGTGGTATGGGAGCCCAAGCAATGTGTGAATACATGTTCATTCAAAGCAGTGTTACATGCAGAGATTCACCTGAGAAGCTACGGCATGTCGTGTGGAGGGGGTATTAAAATAGGGACAAGGAATCTGGACAGCTCTTGAGGAATCCATTCCCTGAGAAAAAACACTGGAGTGCTTCTTAACGATGTAATCACTCAAGGCCAGGATTCAGTAATTCTAAATACTATAGTCAATGGAACTAGTCAAATTCTTTTTGATTTGATTTCTTGAAGAGATAAGCAAGGTCCACAGAGAGTTGTGGGTTAGTTACTAGGGTCACATCTGCACCTCACATTTACACTAGTACCACTTTATCAGTCATGGCTTCCTCCAAGGACTCCAGGGACTGTAAAGGTTGCTGAGAGCTGTTAGGAGGGAGATATTTCTTTCCCCCAAAGACTACAATTCCCAGAATGATTTAGCAACCAGTCCCTCTTGTCGAGGAACTCTGGGAATTTTCTTACTGTCATGTGCTTTCTATTCGCTTCTTGCCAGTTTCCACTAGCCTTCCTCAATGGCTGATTTCTGGCAGAATCCTTCCCAAATGTTCTGCTTCACTTCAGGGATTTAGCCAATGCTTAGAACAGGTGTGGAGAACCTTTTCTGCCCAATGAGACAGATCTTTATCTCCTCCCATCCTGCAGGCTAACTTTAGCAGGAGGACTGGACCACCTACCTGCCAATCACCTGATCGCAAAATGACATCAGGTGATTGACAGGTGAATGGTCCTGCCTGTCTATCAAAGTCGGTCCATGAGGCTGGGGTGGAAATGGGTGTCGGGTGAAAATGGTAACCAAGCAAGGACTGAACGTGGAGTTCAACCCTACTTTCTGCAGAGATTGGCTCCACAAAGAGGCAACCCAACTGCATCACTACCAACCCCACACCTGATGTCACATACAAGGTGTGGGGCAGGTGGTTTGGATTCCTCACCCTTGGGCCTAAAAATATCGTTTTCCCAGTATGTCATCTCTGGTCCTAATGCAGGCCAGATTACCTGTGTCCCAGATTCAGAGGGCTCTTATCCTTGGCCTATGAGGCCAAATGCCCTGCCAAGACTGCCAGCAGCTCAGCTACCTGATGATCTCTCAAAAGTCTACTGTGCAGCGACTATGGGTTCCTTAAGACCTCCTTCACTGTAACTGAACCCTTTGCAGGTGCTTCCTAGGCCTTTTCAGTCTCATCTCTCCTCTGCAATGAATGCTAGACATTTATGGGAGTTAGCCCCCTCCTTTTAAATGAAAGCCATTAAGAATGTGATGCTGGATGGTTGCTGGAATGGCTGTTTCGCAATAAGCTTGTGATCATGCAGAACACTTAGACCCCAAGGCATGGATTTTCTTGAAATACATATTCCAGCTCATGTTTTTGCACAATATTGGTGTAAACAATCTTTAAAATCAACAAGAGGTGGATGAGCAGTCATGCAACACAGCAAAGAAGGTGTGTGCCACAAGGACCAAAACATGTACTTAAAGCAGTTTGTAGCCAAAAGTGTGGCTCATATTTTATTTTAATTAAGAACAACAAACATTTCAATTGTGGTTTATTGCAGTGCAGATTCAGGGCCTGTTCACATGCAAGGCCCATGCAGGCTGCCTCAGGAGGTGTGCTGGGCTCCTAGCTGGGTCTTCATAGAGATGTCATTAACATGGCATCTGGGTAGTGTATACAAAGCTGCAATTATTCCTGTGATAGGAGCAACCTGAAAAAGAGGTGCTACCACCATAGGGATTGTTGGGACCACATATACAAGGAAAAGAGGAGACCTCCAGGTATACAGGAGTATCCTTGATTAGGCCCAATGTACTTTGAATTAGGATCTTCAGGCGCGCTGTAATAAGCACAACCAATCCCACGCTGTGATCTTTGGCCGAAGGGTGATACATAAATTTAATAAATAATAATAATCCCTGTCTTTAGTAACCCACAACCACACCTTACATTTAAAGCTGTTCCACTTTAACACTGCTTCCCCCAAGGAATGATCCTCAGGACTGAAGTTTGCTAACAGCCCTCAGAGTTGCTAAGAGACCCCTCACGGAGCTACAAGTGGTTCAATCACCAATCCCTCTTCCCTGAGAACTTTGGGAACTGTAGCTCTATGATGGGAATAGCTTGGTGAGGGGTCTCCAAACAAAACTCAGCATCCTTAACAAACTATTGTCTCCAAAGTTGTTGTTTGTTTGTGGTAGGGAATCCATGACTATTTAAAGTGGAAGGATATTGCTTTAAATGTATGGTGTGGATGTGGCCTCTGCGGCAAAGTAAATACAAAAGATGAAAGGCTGAGTTTGGTTGCTGCTGTTGTTACACATGCACCCAAACAAGATCCTAATTCCAAACATACTGGGCCTAACTAACAAAGTAAAAGTGGGGCCTGAAGCAAAAATGTTATACGTAGTGTTTCCTCCCTCCCAAAGGAAGTTCCAGCCACCTCTCCCAAGCAGGGCATGACCTCCCCCTACTACTTTCTGCTTATTTCCCTTCTGGTTCAATAGACATTCTGCATTCAATCACCACTGAACAGGCTCAGCCCTCAGGCTGCTTTGGGTAGAGGGATGTTTCCTCTTATTAGGTTCTTATTTCTAAAGATCAGTTGTATTCCTGAAAACCTTCAAGTTCCCCAAAAGCATGCTGATAGCTCCCTCTTGTTTCTCAGCAGTCCTGTTTCAGCAACATAACTGGCTGGCACTCACCACCTGGGCTTGCTGTTAAGAGGAAGCTATACTCCTGTGTACAGTATCTGGCTCTCTTCTTTTCCTTGTACCGTATTGGCAGCTCTCCTCTCTCTCCCCCCCCTTCTATTTTATGACCTGTGTGGAGGCAAAGGGCACCTCTACAGAAGGCCATCTTTGTCCACAAACCCAGCAGTGTGGCCCTGCAACACCCTCTGAGATAATCCTGACAGGAAAAACAGAATTCCGACTTGGGGAAATCATAGGGAGAGAAACAATGCTTTCACCTTACAATGGATTACACGTTTGTGAAACAAACCCAAATATAAGCATATCTTATATATATGTCATAGACATTAAAAATATTTCTAAATGTGAGGTAACTATACATACAGAAGAGGGGAAGGATAATCTATAGACACCATAAAGGTGAAGCAAATTATGCCCATGGTAGACAGAAATTTGATGTAGGCCAATAATTTCACCTTTCTCAAGGTACAGTTAGAGACTGATAGTGGAACAACATCAGCACCATATATTTATGACAACATCAGCTCCATACATTTATACCACTTTAACAGCCATGGTTTTCCCCAAAGAACCATGGGAAATGTAGTTTGTTATGGGTACTGAGAGTTGTTAGGAGACCCCTATTCCCCTCACAGAACAATAGCTCTCAGGGTAGTTTAATAATTAATCCCCCATCCCATGGGAATTGTAGCTCTTCAAGAGGAAAAGGGTCTCCTAACTACAGTTCTTGAGGGAAGTCATGATACGTAAAGTGGTATAACAATACTTAAAATGTATAGTGTGGCTATAGCCATAGTTCAGAGCTTCCAAACTCTGTGTTGTGACACATTTTTTGTTGGCTGCTGTGCATACGTGCATCACACAAAAGCTCCCTGGGCTCCTCCCGGGACTGGAAACGGGTTAGTTTAACCTCCAGTTTCCTAGTACAACTGAATTACTGTGTCACAAAATGATGATTGTCTAAAAAGTGTGTCACCATCATGAAAAGTTTGGAAAACTCTGCCATAGATTCATAGAGTTGGTGAGAACTTTGTAATCTTATATTGTTCAACCTCCAACTCAGTGCAGGGAAATAAGCACAAGGGCATCAATAACAACTTAGCTGCCCAGCCTCTGCTTGAAGATATGTACTCAGAAGTTAGTCCCACTGAGTTCAATGGGGCTTACTCCCAGATCACTGAGTCTGCAGTCTGATTTTGTGCCACAGTAACAATGGTTTGTATATCGCATGCTAGTCCTAGTCAGAGTAGACCCAATGAAATTAATGGCCATGACTAGCTTATGTGTACTCTGAGTAGAAGTTATGTTGACTGCAACCCAATGTCCTTGTGATGACACTCCATATATCTGGATTTAAAGTTCCTTCAGTACACCACTCAATTGCCCTCAAAGTAGAAGGGGTAATGCTTATAAGTCTTTTAAGCACCCCATTTCACTCACTTCATTGTGGTTCAGCCTATGTTTAGACTGTGCGACTTCAGACTGTAGTTGTGATGGCTACAGGATGGAGTGTTCATTTTTAAGAAGTCTGCATAGAAATCTAGTAGGTTAGGGAGAAGGCTTAGCTAGAACGGTTTCCCCCATTACCTGCTAGCTTTCTGTGGACAGAAGTTTTATTATAATAATTTATATGTTAAGGGCACACCATCATTTGAATCCCGCATTGAGAATTCACCTAAAATCAGGATCCAGAATCTTCTTCATTCATTCATAAAATACAAAAAAACTTTGTTGAACAACTGGAAGTCAGGAAGCAGGTGACTGTGATCTAAGGTAACAGTTCTTTCTAGATCTGCACTGGTACAATGAAGAGTTTAAGCCTCTCTTGAGTCCAGTTAGGAACTACTAATGTTCTGTTGGATAATTTTGCTTCATGTAAGTATGGGCCAGCTATTCTAAAGCAGCCCAAATGGCAATAAGCATTTTGATTATTTTAGGGCTCGCTTCAGCCTGTTCAGTGCAACAAAAAGTTTGGGAAAACTCTAGGCTATATATGGAAGGGAATAATGGAAGAAAGTCAAATGGATGGTCAGTCTGAATTTCCTCATTTTCTACTCTGATGTGTTGGATTTGGGATCATGCCATTTACAGGCCAGTTGTTGTGAGACCTACCTGGTGGACCCACAGGTCCTGGAGGCCCTGGAGCCCCAGGTGGGCCTTGGCCGCCAATCCCTGGAATCCCTGGAGGTCCTGGTATCCCAGGTTGGCCACGTAGCCCCGGGTCACCTGGAAAGAAAAATCCAACAAATCAAATCTTTAAAAGGTTGCAAACATTTCAAGATCTAATTTCAACCAGTCTCAACGAAGCAGAAAACTGATAGTTAATTACAGTTTCTCAATTTAAGATATGCCAAGTCATAGGTAGCACAACCCATGGTTTCCAAAACCACTGTTTCCAATACAGGTAACTTAGGGAACTGTAAGCCAAGGTTTGTCAGGTCACCTATCACATCAAACCATGATTAAGCTTACTTAACCACAGATGGCATTGAGTTGATCTATCTTAACAAAGACCGGACAGAAGTGCTTATGAGCACAACATTCCATAAGCACAGGAACACAGGATGCTGCTGCCTGATACAGTCTAATCACTGGCCCATCTAGTTCAGTATTGTCTGCGCTGACTGGCAGCATAAAGTTAGCAGTATCTGTACCTTTAGGCCCTGGAGTTCCATCAAAACCTATCCGTCCTGGAAGGCCAGGGTTTCCTGGAAAGCCGGAATCACCTTTGGGACCTTGTGCTCCTTTGAAACCCGGTGGCCCAGGTGGTCCAGCTGGTCCTGGAACACCAAAACCACGGTCCCCCTTGCAACATAAGAAAGAGAGTCAAACAATAACTCAGAACATTCTTGCTTTGTTCCTGTGGCTTTTATATTTATTGTGAACCCTTCTTGACTACAGTAACTACTGAAATGGGGTATAAGTATACATTTGACTTGATAATTCAGCTATCACACCAAGCAACAATTAATGTAGCTTAACTACATTCTCACATTATGTTTGAATTAGCAAACTATGGTTTGCAATTGGCCCGAAAGCCATAAACTAGAGGCCATGCTTCAAAGTGAGTTTTCCAAACCATCACTTTTTATCATTCTGGCTTTTATGATGTCTAAATTAATAAATTATATTAATGGTTACTGCTGAACAACAGAAATATGAGTGCTGAGTAGATGGGAAAGGAAAGCAGACAAACAGGTATAAACCATACTTTGTTGCAATATTTTTGTAAGTTCAAACCATGGTTTAACATTCTATACTGTGGTTAATAGTACAAACTAAGGGTATGCACTGACCACAAGATTTGATTCAGACCCTAATTCAATACTTTGGAAAGAGCATTATTTGATCTGAAACACTTCAGAGGCTGTCCAATTTTTTCAGGGCCCAAATCTGAATTTTGATCCAGCAGAATGAGGTTTTGTGCTTCCCCCTTTCACTATTATGGGGAAGAAGAAGAAAAAGTACATGGCTATAACTTTTTCTTTTACAGAAGTGTATTATATTTGCCAGCACAGTAGTTTGTCTTGAGTGGGTAATGCATAGTAAATTACAGAGAAAGAGGCATAGGAATTTTGTGCTGGACACCTTTAGCATTTGTGAGGTTCCCACTTGGTACCCAAGTGCCTGTTAGTTAATTTTAAACTCCCATTAACTGTAGGCAGTACTGAAGACTCCAACCACTAATCCCCTATCATACCTTGGGCAGGAGCAAACAAACAATCTTTTAGTACTTAACCATATAAGCATTATGAATGTAACTTATAGGACCAGGAAGTTTGACCATTCTTGCACTGTCAGAAAAGTCCAACCCCACTCTTTTTATTGCATGCAATAGTTCTTCATAACATCCCAAGCAAATGGAGAGAACCCTTCTTTACAGACCTTCTGTCCTGCTAATCCAGGAAGTCCAGGAGGTCCATCCTGACCTGCTCTCCCAGGGTTTCCTGGTACACCAGGAAGGCCTGGCAACCCAGGATATCCTAAAAGAACAAAGAAGAGGGTTTGGAGCTCACTACCACAAAGCATCAGCAATCTTCAAAAGGCATTCTGCAAGCTTCTGTTTTTGTCGTTTGTTAACACAATTTGTTTCAAATCAAATTGACTGCTAAAGTTTTGACATTGCAGATGGATTAATAAGGCAAGATGCCTCTGAGTGCCAGTCACTGGGGAAGAACAGCTGGAGAGGACTATTGCCCTTATTTACAGTTTACAGGCTTCCCATTGGGGCAGCAGATTGGCCACTCTGATAAACACAATGCTGGACCAAGATGGGCCTTTGGTCTGATCCAGCGGGGCTCTTGTGTTCTTAGGATCTTCTTGCTCAGTCCTTTCATATGATGGGATTCTCTCCCATATCCCGATTCTGCCGTTATCTCCAAATAGAACCAATCAGATATGATTAACCAGCTATTTATATCTAAAACATGGATTTAGACAAGTTGCTGTGGGGGCAGTTAACGATAAATCCCAACTTTTTCTAAATCTCTTGTTTCCTTTCTGAAAGGCCAGAATTTCCACAAAAATACAAACACACCAATTAAAAATTAAACACATGACTACTGTAGCAGACAGATTTGGTTTTTTTAACCCCACAGGGGAGTATCAGGTTTTTCTGACGTCTATGGTCCAAAAGCAATTTCTTCTGGAGAGTTCAGGGTGGCCTATGTAGCAGGACCTCTTTCATCATCACAAGAAGGTAGGTTATTGCTGGGAGATAGTGAGTGGTCCAGGGTCACCCCGGGAGATTTGCAGCTGGGCAAGGTTTTAAACCCAGCTCTCCACAGACTAACTATAGACATATTGCCAGCACACCACCCTGGCATCATAGAATATGACAGAGACAAACCTTTGGGTCCTGGTGGGCCTGGAAGTCCAATGCCAGGTAATCCGGGATCACCTTTTGAGCCTGGGATGCCTGGCAATCCAGGTGCCCCTGGCTGGCCAGGATCACCTGCAAACAGGAACAATTGAATTAGGAAAAAACCCCACTACAAAAATGTAAATAATAGTATTTCACTTGGGAAAACAACAAATTTATTTACCTGGAAGGCCAACTTCACCATCTCTGCCTGGGGGGCCGGGGTTACCTGGAGATCCTGTTTCTGTGATAGTTTGTCCAGGTTCCCCTTTGGGCCCTAAAGGTAGATGTATAATAGCAAACATTTATAAATCAAAACCAACAACACCTGATAGATATCTATTGCAAGAGCATTCCACAAGACTGGGCTATTAACAATGAAGGCTCAGTTTCATATTGTCAAATCAACCTCACTGACTCATGGGACAACCAGCGATGCTCCTACAGATTATCTCAGTGATTGAGCTTGAATATAAGAGTTGAGGCAGTTGATCCTTCAAGTATACAGGACAAGTATACAAGTTGCTTAAGGCTTTCTAAAGTTACTTCCCAAACTGATGTCTCCAGGCACCAGCCTGGGGTAATGTTGGAGTGGGAAGGAGCCACATTTTCCCACTGTGCACTTCCTTCCTTCATTAGCAGACTCACACGGATGCTGACAGTGCATGAATTAGGTTCATTTTACCCCAGCCAATGGTCTGAATCTCATCTACAGGTTACATATCATATCATCACCACAAATTCTCCCAGGTCTTTTAATTTACAACAGACATACATTTCTGGTATTTAACTTATTGTACCAAATTATTTCCCCATTACAGGTTTTATGCTGATTCTAAGTTGATTTTATGTTACCTTGTTTCTGCTGGCTTTTAGATAGCTTATGTGCTGATTTATATTTTTTGCAATTGCTTTTATAGCTTTTTTCCCCCTTTCAACTGTATCCCATATTTTCTGAATGTTGTAAACTGCACAGAGGACCAAATTAATGGCAGTGTATAAATGTAAATAATACTAATAAGAATTATTGTTATCACTAGTAGTAGTATTGGGCAATACATACATGTTCATTATCACCATCATCAATATCTTTCAGAAAGCTGTTTGTTTGTTATGCATTTTGACAAATTATTATAGTCTTTCTCACATGCGGTCAGAAGTGGCCCAGGCAACCCCAGCAACTCATTCTGCTGTGCATGTAGACTAGAGGCATCCTGGATGTTGTGTTTACACTAGGTGAGACTATTTGCTATTGTCTACTCTGGCAACTGACTCTCCAGGGTCTCAGGCAGAAAAGAGTTTGTCCCATTATCTGCCACTGTATCCTTTTAACTAAGGTGCCAAGGATGGATCAAGGAGCAGGTTTTTGTTAATGTTTAAATACAGTTGGGACACCATTTTTAAACAAGATGACAGTCTGAATCTTTTGAAACTGCACTGATTCTTTTGGTTTCTTGGAATTCCCAAGCACGGCTTTGTACAAGTGTTTATATAATTGTTTTAAAAGACAGCTTTGATCTTTCTCTTACCTGATGACACTATCTTTACATCATCTTTAGATAACTCAGCTACAAAAGTTAAAAGAAGTCCCCAAGGTTTAAACAAGCTAAATGATGAGTTACAAAAAGCTTTGCGGCAACAACAGATCATCTCATGAAATGGATCATTTTAGAGTTCATTTTGTGTGTGTGTGTGTGTGTTAGCAAGGATGAACCCTGTTGGACCCAATGATGCAAACATTCCTTTTTGTGGTTTGGTCAAATAAGACGAAGAAACTTACCTGGACCTCCAGGGGCTCCTGAGCGCCCTGAAACACCCTGAACGCCCTTCTGGCCTGGGGGACCTTGTGGGCCAAATCCAGGAGATCCTGGAGGCCCTCGATCACCAGGAATACCAGGAATTCCTGGATCACCAGGAAGTCCCCTGTCCCCTTTGAAACTGATGCCACCCTAAAAGGACAAGGGGAAAGTTGGTAAAATGAGTTTGTAGCTCACTCCACCCCACCCCCTGCAACACTTGGATTGAACGAAGCTCATTTGAAATCTGATTGGGCCAGGCATATGCCTATGGGAAGCTACCCAAGGCAAGTGAAGAAGAAGAGGAGTTTGGATTTGATATCCCCCTTTATCACTACCCAAAGGAGTCTCAAAGCGGCTAACTATCTCCTTTCCCTTCCTCCCCCACAACAAACACTCTGTGAGGGGAGTGAGGCTGAGAGACTTCAAAGAAGTGTGACTAGCCCAAGAACACCCAGCAGCTGCATGTGGAGGAGCAGGCAATCAAACCTGGTCCACCAGATTATGAGTGCATAATGGAAATAGCCATTCTCTTCTTTGTCCCCACAATTTGGGGTGGGTGGGGCAGATTGCAATGTACAAAGCAATTGTAATCTTCAGTGACTTTCCTTAGGATTCAGATAAGAAGGACTAATATGGATGCAGACTCAGAGGAAATTAAATAAAATTAACAGTTTTGTATTATCCATTAATGACACAGTTTAACATGTGTTTTATTAAATTTCTGTCCTGCCCTTCCTCCCAAAGAAGCTCAGGACTGTAAACAACAAAATAAGAAAAAATGCAATTCATATAAAGGAAATAACAAATATTTAGGCCCAATGGGAATAATAACATCATTAATTATTTATTTAACACAATTTATATACGACTTGGTTGCAAAAACACACAACACATCTAAGCTTTTTATAACATAATAACAGATTACAGTATTATTTGATTTAAGCCTTTCGTAAGTGCTAGTACTAGAATTACTTTTCCTCTTTCAATATCAGCCACAAAGGGGTGTGTGTGTGTGTGTGTGTGTAATCTGCTATGGCAGATCATTTCTTTAGTTACTTCATCAAATTTGCACAAATCAGAGTTAAAAGCAAGTTAATGTGGGACCTTCTGCATGCAAAGCAGTGGCCCCCCACCACTGAGCAATGGCAGCTGTGGGTTGGCAGTAGGCTAAGATGCAAAAATGCCATTCAACTTGAAAGAGAATGGAGTCACACTGCAAGCACTGCCTTGGGGAATATGGCCCACCTGTGCATTTGAGAGGACGTTATGCCAGTTTATCATGGTATGTAAAAGCTGCACCTATTAATGTTACTTCTTACCAGTGGAGGTTGGGGCAATGGCGCACTGCCCCACCAACCACAGTCTGCACACAACCAGCCTCCACCTGCCTGACTTCCTACTTACAACCATGTCAGGAGGTGGCATCACCTGTCACCTTTTCCCTTCACACCATACATTTAACGAGTATGATGATGCTTTAAACAGTAGTGGCTTTCCCCAAAGATTTCTGGGAGCGGTAGTTTGTTAAGGGTGCTGAGTCGTGTTAGAGGAGACCCCTATTTTCCTCACAATTCCCAGAGTTCCCTTTGAAAAGGTATTTATTGTCAAACCACTCTGATAATTATAGCTCGGGTATGGGGAATTGGGATCTCCAAACAACTCTCAGCACTCTTAACAGCTCCTGGAATTTCTTAGGGGAAGCCACTGCTATTTAAAGTGGTGTCATAGTGCTTTAAACATATGGTGTAGAATGCAACCTCTACCCTCAGTGCTATCCTTGCAGAATTCATCTACAGGCGGATAGGAACAAAACTAGAATTAGCTGGCTCTGCCAGTCATGGGGCTTGGCTCCACCTACTGTTGACCTCCATGGCTTCCAACTTTCCAGTCCCATTGGGCCCCAGCCACCACTGACGCTGCCAATATTGGGAGCCATCAGAAGACTGGCTAAGTACTCAATGACCATTGCGTTTGTTAGCATTTAAAACACTCTCAAATTACACTTGGTCGAAATGGAAGTGCAATGGTTTCACATTCACTTACTGGCTCCCCCTTGGGCCCAGGAAGACCCGGCAGTCCATCTTGTCCACGAGATCCATCTAACCCAGGCAGACCTGGAGGGCCTGGGAAGCCAGGGTTCCCCTTCTCGCCTTTCAATCCGGGGAAAGCAAGAACATCACCTGGATCGCCTTTTGCACCGGGACGTCCAGGAGAGCCAGGAGGGCCGGGAAGACCCTAGATAAAGAATTTTAACTATTGCAGTAATTAGGATTGCACATATTTCCCCTACTTTCTCCCTCTAACCCCATGCTCCCAACAAACAGCAATTAATGGTGCTTACTTGTGGTCCAACACTACCAATAAGGCCAGGGATTCCTTTATCACCTTTCGGCCCAGGAAAACCAATAGAACCTGGTCATGAAAGGAGGGAGGGAAAAATCAGTGAGAGCAGCTAGAAAACGGCCTACGCATGACATGGGCAATGCAAATTGTTTAGTGTTCTTTGTGGACAGTATGTTAGAAGACTCCCAGAAAAACTCACAGGGGAATGATGCAATGCTCGTTGTAGTCACTACAAAGGCTATTTGACTGTTTCCTAGATTTAGTCCAGGGGATGATTTATGGCTAGTGGCAGTTAAGGATGGGCAGATCCCAAACCCCTCCACTGCATGTGGTTCTTGGTCTGCTTTGCCCCATGATCTACCTTCCAATTAAACTGGGGGGGGGGGTTTAAAAACTTATTTTAGAATTTGTAGTTTGACAGATTTCAGTTGCTGTCTTTCCGTTTTAATAGGCTACCTATGCACATAAACACAGTGTGAAAAGGAAGATTGCATAACCCAGTTGCACATGTCCTAGGGGAGTGTAGAACACTCTGACTGGAGAGCCCTGGTAAAATCATCACCTCTCTTTAGAAACTAGACCTGTCAGTCCCAAAACAGGTCTCACACTCCCTTCTCTCCACACCTAGAGTTCTTCTTATATCTGTCTGAAGCACTCCTACTTTGGTTCTTTGTTGGGATGCATCCGGATATTTTGCATGCCTCTAGGGTGTGCATTGGTTAAATGACAGCACAAAAAGGGAGACCTGGTGCAATTGCATTGTCACCTCAAGATTCCTTTTTGAACTGTGATCAAATTAATGCACATCTGTGCAAAAAAGAAGAGAGAGAGAGAGACAGAGCAAAGATGCAAACCAAAAACTGGCGTACTTTGCATGCACAGTCGTCTGACCAATATAAAAAATGGATGAAAGGCAATCTGAAAACACATGCCACTCTGGAAACAAGGTCAGGTGATTTGGAATATCCAAATCCAGGATGAAATTCAGATGGAAAAAATCTCATAGTTATCCTTAGTGGTGGTCTGATTCCACAGTGGTGTACTACCATGGCATGTGGGAAGCATTGGTCCTGCTTCTGCTAGCAATCAAACTTACCGCAAGAAAAGGAAATAAGCTGTGGGATATTCAAATACCAAAAGGTATCTGTGAGCAGATGTACTAGAATATTAACCAGCTTGCCTGCTTTGTGCATAAATATGCCCACAAAGCGTGTTCTCCTTCATGGAGAGCACGGGTTGTGGTGGGGTTAACCAGACATCCCCTGTTGCTGGGCAAGTTGGTTTTGGTTGGCCCAAAGTGTGATTGGACTCCTCAGGTTGCCAGGGAGAGTTTGATGTTGCCAGTTTTGAGTGACAGCCTGAGTTGAATATATTCCCTGCACGCAGCGTTGAGCTTCCTCTTTTCACTGCGCGCATCGGATCACTGCCAACCCTCCCTAATTTTAGGGTGTTTGTTACATTTTGACCTTGCTATGCCTGTCATGGGGTCGTCTGCTTTTGGGGCAGGGGCCTGGTAGGAATTTTGTCCATTTGGCTGATTGGCTGGTGCCATTTGGTTTTTGCCTACTGCGTAGCAAATCGTCACAACTTGTAAGGTTGTGGTTAGGCATTGGTTTTAGAAAAAAATGGTTGGTGGAGGGGTATGGATTGGGTGTGCCTGCCCCTCCAATGCTGTTGCTGCAAGGGTATTCCATTAAAGGAATCCAGGGGCTCACCATACTTTTGTCCGCACCCCTGTAAAGGGGGATAGGGCCACGTAAGAGCCTCTGGGAGCATTTGGGGAGAGGTGAGGGTCTGGTACCCAGCTCCATCTACTCCCCATAAAATGTTTTCCCTTACTGACTTTGCAGGCTTGTGGATGTCAGCTCTGTTCCTGGGTGGGGACAGATAGTCGTAACCAATGCCTAAGCAACCACTCACATTGTTTGTATTTAATAAAGTTGTGGCCAAAAAAATTATGCCAAAAACCTTAAATAAAAATTATGGTGTGAAGTGTGAATTTATTTAGGGGTGGCTTGGGGACCTCAACACGCAAACACTTATCCCGTAGCTACCAGCGTAGTGTGTGCATGTTCCCCAAGTACACGATACACAGATTGTGTTTAAAAGCGGTTCATCAGAAACTGTAGAAAGGCAAACCAAGATCAGAAAACAACATAGTCCTAAATCATGAAAAATCAAAAAGGTGGATAAGGCGGAACAGCACACTGTTACCTGGACTTCCAAGGTACCTGGTACTCCCATTCTCCCTGGAGGGCCCTGAAGTGCACAAAAATCCATGCAGTTAGAAAACAGGTGTCCCTTAATATCACCTGGATAACATAGAAGACATAAATAAAGAGGGTGAGGTATAAAGCATTTCCATGGGTATGGAGTTCCTATGGTATGAGTAATTTAAGTATTCAAATGCAGACTTCTTGTACATATTCGGCATGCACCCCTAAGTATTAGAGGATAACTGGAGTAGCAGTCTGTGCACTCATGGAAAAGCAATAGCTGTCTGGTACTCAGGCACAATAAATTAACTATGCACTGTTTCCTTAAGTACAGCTTAGTCTCAAACTCCACCTTCCCTGCTTCGACACTTCCCTTGAAATAAGAGAAACCCTGCTCCAAGTGTGAGTAAAGTACCCTGCAGGACAGATCAACACAACTCTGCTTAATAGCCCTGGTTTCTTACAAATACGTACCTGCAGAAAACCTGAATTAGCAGTCAAAGTTCAACAGAAAACACTAGATACTTATGTAGACATTGAGATATCTTGCAAGATCTCACTACAAAACAGCAATCAAAACTTTACAGCCAATGGATACAGTCTGTGATATAAAATGTCTCCCCTAGATCCACCACATTCAGTCATCACATCCACATACAAAACAAGCTTTAAAACGGCTGATGCTTGTTCCAATTCACATCGTTTGGTGGTGGAATAAGCTCTAAAAACAGTGGACAGGATACAAAGATGAAAAGGGGGAGGGGCAAATCAAGTTCCTGGCCTGTATCACATTTATGTCTATTCCATTCTGTTTCTGCATTAATCTTAGATTTTTAAAAAATCGGCATATTTTTTAAATATTAAATAGGATTTTCTGTTAACCATTTCTGAATGTATTTTGATGGCCTTTAAAAGCCAAAAACTACATTGGAGCATTTAGTTATCCAGTGGATAACTAAATTCCTATCAGTGCATCCTGAAGCATGCCTAGATGAAACTAGTTTAGTGACCTCCAGAAGGCTTTAGATATGCTTTTGTCAAACAGTCCCACCCACCCAAAGAAATCACATGGATAACTCTTTGGAAACTAAATGGAATTTCAGAAGAAGTCTGAAATATGATGGTGGGTGGAGAGAAGTTAAACTGGGATTGGACCAGTGGAATATCCTTACATGAACCTAAACCACTATTTGGATCACAGCCTATGAAAGACAAGTAAAAAAATCAATGGCATTGTGGGAACCCACCTTTCTGGCCTCTCTCCCCCGTAAATCCTTGTTCTCCTGGGAGTCCTGGGATGCCAGGGGGTCCTCGCTCACAGAGTCTGTCAACTGAAAGGAAAAGCAAATGCAGTTCAAGAACTAAGAGAACTTATGGGTAGATGAGCCAAAGCTCAGTAAGTTTGCTCCATCTTCCATCCACCCATGTAAGACTGACAAGCTACTTAGGAAGCTGGTTCTTCTAGCTCAGTATTGTCTACACGGATTGGCAGCAGCTTTCCTGGGTTTCAGACACGCGTGTTTCCCAGTCCTACCTGGAGTTGGTAGGGATTGAATTCATGAACCATCTAAAAGCTTTGAGACTGCGTGTATTGAAGACCCAGCTAGTCATTCCGCAAATGAAGAGCATTTTAGCCACTGATTTATAGACAAAAAAACATTACTTACTGGGTGGAATGGTAGTTCCAGGGGGCCCAGGGGGCCCAGGGGGGCCAGGTAAGCCTCGTTGTCCATCATTTCCAGGTGGCCCTGGGATTGGGATTCCAGGAAGGCCTTGATCCCCCTTCTGTCCTCTCTCACCGGGAAAACCAGGAGTACCAGGAGAGCCAACACTTGGAATTCCTGCAATGAGAAAAGATCTCAGCATCTTTGTAATTCAAAATTAGGACGCTTTTAGAGGGAAGCAAAGGGAAACCAACCAGGCAATGAAGCAAAGCATCTTTTTCTGCAAGTTGCTCTATCAAGAGGCAACTATTTAAAATGGGCATTCCCAACAAGGGCTAGCAAGTAAGAGTTTCAGGCACATGGAAAGCATTTGGGTTGTACAGCTAAACACAAGAAATTCAAGCTGTATAAGAGAGAGAATGAAACACACCTGTGGGTGATGAAAGATACATTTAAAAGATCAACTTGGGAGTGAGAGGGCTTCTACAAATACCTCTATGTAAGCCTTTTGGTTATTATAATATACTTAAAATCAACTCTGGGTTTTCTTTCCGCCCCCTGGTTTTGCCCAACACACAAGGAAAAGAGCCAAACTGCATGTGATATATAACATCAATAATAAATAATCATAACCATCAGAGAGGCCAAGGTAAGGTAGGTGTGTGTCTTTGCATCTAGGTAAAGGTACCCCTGCCCGTACGGGCCAGTCTTGACAGACTGTAGGGTTGTGCGCTCATCTCACTCTAGAGGCCGGGAGCTGGTGCCGTCCGCAGACACTTCCAGGTCACATGGCCAGTGTGACATCGCTGCTCTGGCAAGCCTGCACCAGCGCAGCACACGGAACGCCGTTTACCTTCCCTCTATAAAGCGGTCCCTATTTATCTACTTGCACTTTAAGGGTGTTTTCGAACTGCTAGGTGGGCAGGAGCTGGGGCCGAAAGGCGAGAGCTCACCCCGCCGTGGGGATTCGAACCGCCGACCATACGATCGGCAAGTCCTAGGCACTGTGGTTTTACCCACAGCGCCACCCGCGTCCCCCTGTCTTTGCATCTAATGCAGCATAATTATAACCAAGGGGTCTCTGCATTATGGGGACACTACATCATAGAAAAGCAGTTAGGAAGTTACAACATAAGTAAGGCATATTGGGCATGCCTGGGCAACATAGTGCTTTATATGTCAGGTGTGAATGCGGTCAAAGTAAGCACAGGAGAGAAGCAAGAAGGACATATCAGAACCTTTGCTTGTGTTATTTACTCCTTGATGCATTATTTTGTATTCTCTACTCTGTCAGTTCTGTTATAGCTGTAGCTTAAATACTTTAAAATCGCTTGCACTTGTCTGATTTATCACTACGGGCTTGGATGGTGAGAAGATTCCAGTAGATCCCAGGTTTTTACCTTTAAGCAGGGCAGTGGGATCCTTGCAGGAGAGTGCTGGTGTCACATTATAAAATATCTCAAAACAAACAAACAAACAAACAGAATTCCTACTAGGGATGATGGGCAACTGATTTGGTCGAATCCAGAACAAAATCAGGGTGCAAATCCAAATCAGCTCTGATTCCTGAACTGGCTTTGGGGAGAAGTCGCTTCGTGTGTGTTTGGTCCTAATGCTCCGGACACTCGAGGGTCTTACCTGGTGAACCTGGTAGGCCAGGTGGCCCCTGTTGGCCTGGATATCCACGTTCTCCTTTGTCTCCAGGGATTCCTGGCAACCCTTTACTACCTTTTGGTCCCACCGTTGTTCCAGTATCTGGCCTTAGAATTGCCTGGAATATTCCATTAAAAGAAAGTTACACACACAGAAAAGGATAGAGATTCTATCAAGCTAAATTAGTACTTAGTTATGTTTCACGGAGGCTGGGAGCAAACCAGTGGAGATCATGGTGTATTGTGAAAACTGGAATCATTTTTTAGCATACTGGGCTAGATATTTACAAAGGGATGTTTCCTGCAAAGAGATAATAGGTCATCTTCAAAATACCTGTAAGTATTATTCATTTTAAGACCATGCTCATTTTCAAAAAAAGCTGTGTATTGGTATATATTTGTAAGGGTTTTTTGGCGGGGGGTAGTGTTGGTAGCCGATGTAATATACAGTCATACCTCAGGTTGAATGTGCTTCAGGTTGAGCGCGTTTGGGTTGCGCTCCATGGCAACCCGGAAGTAACGGAGCGTGTTACTTCCGGGTTTTGCCACTCACGCATGCGCAGATGCTCAAAATGACGTCACGCACATGCGCGGAAGTGGCAAAACGCGACCCGCGCAAATGCGCCGTCGCGTCTTACATTCCATTCAGGATGCGAACGTTCCATTCAGGACGTGGAACAGATCCCGTTTGCATCCCAAGGTACCACTGTATAATACCACTTTGTAACATTTTACAATTACAACACAAAACATTAAAAATAAGTGAATTAAATGAACATAATCAACATGCCACAGAGGAACTTAAGGGAGGGAGGAAACAGAACAAATGGGCAGAAACTTACATGTCCAGGAGGACCAGGAGGACCAGCGTCACCTTTACTGCCCTGCCCCAAAAAAAAATTCAGCAAGTTTAATAGGGAAGCAGGGCCACTCACTTGACTATGCTGAAGAAACAAGCTCCACCAAGCCCCCGCAGAATCATAGAGATGGAAGGGACCACAAGGGTCACCTAGTCCAACCCCCTGCAATACAGGAATCTTTTGCCCAACATGGGGCTTGAACCCACAACACCGACTGAGCTACCAAGGCATGTATCCTTAAGCTGACGCTATTCCATCGAGCTAAAACAGAGAGAGCCAAAGGAGGTAGGGCCATTCCATTGGCTTGCTAAGAACACAGTACAGTGGTATCTCGGGTTAAGAACGTAATTCGTTCCGGAGGTCCGTTCTTAACCTGAGGTACCATTTTAGCTAATGGGGCCTCCCGCTGCCACCGCCGCACGATTTCTGTTCTCATCCTGAAGCAAAGTTCTTAACCTGAAGCACTATTTCTGGGTTAGCGGCGTCTATAACCTGAAGCGTCTGTAACCCGAGGTACCACTGTAACTTTTACCTCCTCTTCTCTTTGAACTGCTTCCATTTTCTTGCCATTTTAAGAACTTTGCATCGAAGAAATGGATTCATTTCCCCCCTCCTCCCTATCAACTAATTTTCATTTTGTATCATGCCCTTTATATCAAAAACTTTCCGCCCTCTGCAGACCATTAAAAAATAGTCAAGGATCTTCTTGGCAGACCACTTAGCCTAGAGACCTTCCCCTGACTTTCTGCGAGCTATGGCTTTATTCCTCTGAGGAAGGCAGAGCCTCCCTCTGTCATTTCTGGTCCATCCCACAAACCTTCCACACAGACCACAAGGACCTGGGAATGATGAGGCAGCCACTGAAGCCACTCTGGAGAGACGCTTTCGCAAGCTACCTGAACAAAACTTTCAAACCACTGCTGATCCCCGGACCACACCTTGGGAGCCTATTTTAGATTGCGAGCCAGCTAGAAGAGTTCTTTTTGGCTCCAGAGTGGGGTGAAAATACTCCAGACAAACAAATAAAATGAGCTTTCCATGTTGCAAAACATACTCACTTTCTCTCCATCTCTTCCTGGAAAACCAGGTATACCACGACCTCCAGGCAAACCCTATGATGGAGAAAGAAGGAATCAATCCTCAAAAAACTTAAAACTGTGAAAGGTCATTATAGAAGGAAGAAAAATGTAACAGACTCACAGGCAAGCCAGGTTGACCAGATTCTCCGTCCTTGCCAGGTTTCCCCTTTAAAATACAAATGTGTATTGAAAAAGCAATCAAGCAGTTTAGGAAGCACAAATATGCTACTGACATTGTGCTGTTCATACCACTTGCTAAGATAATATGAAAAATGTCTCTCCAGCGCGACTTTCTGGAAGAATACCAATGGGCAGGCAACCCCCATAGTAAGCATGGGTAATTAAAACAAGGACCAAAGATGACAATGACAGGAGTAAAAAGCACAGCAAACAGATGATGGCATGAATTCTTAGGGCAATGTAACAGACCAACAAACTTAGGCTCTATGTGGGTGTCTGGATTTATACAGTACAATGTGTTTTTAATCTTATTTTTACGAAATAAAAATTTGTAATTGTTTTAATTCAGACCACACCTCCTTTTCCTCTTGGTATGCCTTATTATTGACTTCATAAATCACAGAGCTGTACCCTATATTACGTCTTCTTTACAATTGTGACAACATATCCTTTAAAAAAAAACACCAACCTATGTTTTCTTTAATTTCTTCTTCTTTTTGCAGATTGTTTGTTATTAAAATTCAATTTTAAAAATTCAGAAAAGGAAATACTCCCAGTCTGATTCTGTAATATTTATCGATCTTCCTTTTCTGCAAATTACAGGAAGATTGGGGGGGGCGCGATTCTCAAAGTCCCTTTGATAAAGTAGAAAGCATAGTGTGGCCAAAGAAATTATTAAAAGACTGGCTTTCTAAAACAACAAAAACAAAAGGCAAGGGGGACCTAGTGAATTTCTCAAAAAAAAAAAAAAAAGAAAGAAAGAAAGAAAGAAAGAAAGAAAGAAAGAAAGAAAGAAAGAAAAGAAAAGAAGTTTTGAATATAAACAGTGGCATCTTACGCACTGAGCTGTAGAAAAGGCACCCACAGCGCTACCATATACCTTCCCCACGACAAAGGAATTAAGATTGTCATGTTTGTTTTCGGATGGAAATTATGAACAATAAATCACTTGCATTCCCAAGATGTGCTAAATTTACAGCTCATTCTTGACAGCTGACAGAATCCACAAGGATAGCAGTTTTTGGGGGGATTCTAAGATTTTCTTACTACCATGTGTCTGATAAGAAAATAAATTAACAGTGGCTAAAGCTGGTTGTGTCAATACGTATTAAAATATTGCTGATGAACACGCTTCAGGAGAAAAAAAATGAAAGATTCCTTGGAATAACTTTACAACATATGGAAATCACACTCTAAGGAGTGGTTGCAAAGCCAGTGCTCACAGTGTGGTTTCCATGTTTTGTAAAGTTAATGCTTTGTAAACATGGGCTTTGCAGCCACTTCTTACTATTTCAGCTCTTTGGGAGACAGTTTTGTGAGTCTGTTAATGTTTCTTGTTATCATTTAAATATCTAAGCTTCATGTGACAGAGTCTAATGCCTGTGAGTTCTGTGAATGCTTCAACAATCCTTTTATGTGGAGATTGTTGTCCCATTCTGTAGTTATTGGATTTGAAATTGTGTTTTTATATACTTTTTTATTGTTTCTGTTCTAATGTTAAATCACCTGAGGATGTTTCGTGTTGAGAGATTTGGAAATGAAATTAATAAATGTATTTACATCTTCTGGTCTGCCATGACTGGATGTGGCTTATCTGTAGGCCCCAGCCACTCAGTGAATCATGCATCAACACCACCTTCTCCCCCAAATAATGAGCCTTTGGAGGAATGCGATCTGCTGGCCCAGGTGATCAGGTTTTTCTCTGTTAATAGTTGCCAGTGTCCACTCCAAGGATAGAACAGGAATCAGTCCAGATTAAATTAAACCCAGAATAAAAAACCTGCATTCTGGTGTGTGCCATCAATGAGGCCCTTCTTGTCCAGGGAAAACCACTGACCAACCCACTATCTTAGCGGACCATAGGAGAAAGGAAAATTTCTTACCCAGTATTTGGTGACCAAACCTGAATCCCCAAAGTTATACAAGGTCTGGAAAGATAAACGTTGAGTTCAAAGAAGTTACTTACCCTTTTGCCTGGTTCTCCTTGCTCACCTTTTTCACCTTTTCCACCACCGGGAAGACCCTGGAAAAAAGGAAGCACAGCGTCAGCACCCGTGGCAACAAAGATGTTTAGTGCACTTTGCTATGATTTCAAAAATGACTCAGAAAGGAACTGACTTACAGGAGGACCTGGAAACCCAGGGGGACCTGTGGGGCCTCGGTCACCTGGAACGCCCTGTCAAGCATTGGGGAAGAGAGAGAAAGACGATATAGTTGAAAACAAATCACTGCCCTTGTGGACTTAATATTTCGCTCCCATCTAAGGTACAATGCCCCAGCAGGATTTATTTGTTTTCATTTGCTTTTCTATTACAGTTCTTCATTGGTATATTAACATTAGTACGACAACTGTTGCATAAAAAAAATGATAAGAAAAGAAAAAAGAAAGAAAACTTATTTTCATATTTTTCCCTTCCACTCCTATCCCTGGTTTCCTCTCTATACCCAACCTATCTGTGTACAGTGGTGCCTCGCAAGATGAAATTAATTCGTTCTGCGAGTTTTTTCGTCTTGCGAAGCACGGTTTCGGAAAAGCTTCAAAAATCACCAAAGTCTTCAAAATCCTCAAAAAAGGCTACCACACCACGTGCTATGAGTTGCTCCTCGAAGTCAAGTCGCAACTGTATTAACGGTTTTAAGAAAAAGGAAACAAACTTGCAAGACGTTTCCATCTTGCGAAGCAAGCCCTTAGGGAAAATCGTCTTGCGAAGCAACTCAAAAAACCAAAAACCCTTTCATCTTGCAAGTTTTCCGTCTTGCGAGGCATTCGTCTTGCGAGGTACCACTGTATTCTTGTTCTAAATTTTACTCTCTCCTCCTCTTTATCTCATGTTATAATTTGTGCTGCTGAATTATGAGCATCCTGCTAGATTGTCTTATTATGTTCCAGCAGACTTCAGAGGCATCTGCTATGTGAGGCAGGCTGTGTCCCTCTTTCCTGATACACCTCTCCCCTCACTCAGCAGAAGCCAACAACAAAAGCAAGCAAAAACCCCACAAAAGCAAGCAAAAACAGTTAAAACAGTTAAAAGAATTGTAGCAGCAGCCCCGCCTCTGCTATGTAGCTGGTACTGCAGACAAGAGATGTAGATTTGCTGCAGATGCAGAGATCACAGGAATTAGTAGGTGGTCAAGCCTGCATTTTGGGCTGCACAAAATATGTTTGGAGGAAGTGCAAGCAAATGGGCAGGCAGCAAAGGCAGGGGCATTCACACTCTCCTCCAGACAATGGGCCGGATAGGACGGGGAAGTGTGGTACAGTGTGACCCACTGATGCAAACCAGAGCAACCCATGAAGGTTGGATGAAGGAAGAATGCCTGTGGAACCACCTTCCTCTCACTTACCTGATCACCTTTCTGAAACTCTACATCATTTGTTCTTTTCTGTTCGCCAAGCTGTCCTGGGGGTCCCGGGGGTCCTTGGAGTCCCTGCTCACCCTAATTCCCGCAGGAGACAACAAGGCACATTAACATCATTAGGCTACTCTCATAGAAGCAGTACCAAGAATGAGCAGAATCAAAGCCCAATCTCCACTTCCATGCCCCACACTTACCTTTTCTCCTTTTGGCCCTTGGAAGTTCAAGCCCATGTTGCCCTAAAAGGAATTTGAAATGATAAGAAGAAGAAGACAACAAACCCTAAGTTCATGAGACTGAATGCAAACAACCAAACAAGGACAAACACTGTTAAAATATACTATACCTTAGGACCCGGTAGTCCTGGGGGGCCGGGAGGACCCTGAAAATGACAAACACGGCAGTCAATCTCCAGGACTACTTCTGTAACCCCACAAGATAAATCCATGCTGGCCTTCTGAGAAACAGAGCATTGGCTCTGTTGTTGCTATTTATTTATTATTGTTTCTTTCCTTTCTTTTATAGTGACAAATAAATAAATCAGGGGAAGGGGAGAAAAGAAAAACTCCACCCCAGGTTTATCACTTGGAACATACTTAATTGTAATGGAAGAGAAAGGGGTACTCCAGGAGAGGGCTGCATCTGCTCACAGGCAACATTTGGGAAGGGGGTGCACTTATTTCACCCACTTATCTCTCCTCCCCAGTTTTCCCCACCACAAGGGAAACAGGAAGAGATATTGGGGGCAAATTATCCAAATCACCACACTGCACTTGCTTTCCAAACTTCAATTCGAAACCTACTTTTAGGTGTCATTTCCCATTCCTGTTTGGAGAGTGAGCATGAACTATAGTTGGCTAATTCATATATCATGGTAAACTGTGGTTTGCACTAAACAAGAAACTCAAAGTCAAGCCACATATGGAAAGGGAGCGACACGAGCCCACAGCTTGCTCCTGATCACGTATATACACCGCAAAGGAAACATAGTTGTCTAGAGATCAAATCTCAGTGGCCTGGTTCAAGCAACCCTTCAACCATAGTTTAGAACATGGTTTGAATTGTGCCACTGATATTTGATCCCTAGACAAGAATGCTTTGCAAGTGATGTGCATATGAGAAAGGTTAGCCTGTTTCGGAAGAAGGCAAGTGGGATTCTAAATTCTGTATTTACTATACTCATATAACATAACAGTGCGAGAGCTATTCTTCTGCAAATATGATCCCCAGACAACTCCAGGGATATGTGCATAAGGGAGCCATATGGGTCGGGTCAAAGGTATGGTTCTTTCACATGCAAAACTCCATACATCGGGGTATAAACCCCTGCTCCCCAGGAAATTGTTACAGTGCACCCTGATGCAAACATGGACTTGTCGTGATGACCAGGACAAGAGAAAGGGGCACAGGCCATAGACGTGGGCAACCTGTTTGCCCCCCCCCCACTTCTGAAACCGCAAGTTGGGCAGCTACAAGCACTTTTCTTTCACCATCTACACATTCTGCAAGCCAGATGGAGGTCATCAAGGAAACGTACCAGCAAACCTGGGGGCCCAGGAGGACCAATAGGGCCCAGTGTTCCAGTGGGACCTGCGGGGCCCTGGAACAAGAGAAGAAAAGAAAGAGTCAAACTGTGGGCAAGAGGAAACCCACAACAAACTCCAGAGCAGGTGCGAGAGACTTGTTGCCTTCCAAATCCAATTCCCACCAGTCCCAGCAAGCATAGCCTGTTAAGTTGTGGGTGAACATATCGGACGACACAGTGATTCTTCAAACAGCGCTTGTTTATTCACACGCCAGAACAGAACTGAACTGAAGGGTTCAGCCAGCCTGCTTATATAGAGCTCCACTAGAATGCAACAGTAACCACTTTCTGTAACTATCCAATCACTGAACGTCACTTTCGATCCCTTATTTGCATATGTGGACCTGAACTATCTACAGTATCCCCCTGCTGGCCCAGGGTGAGAACTTCAGTACATAACACAGCCAATGGTCAGGAGTTGAAGTCCCATCAACTTCTGGAGGGCTGCCTACCCTTGCTATGTACTTCTGCAGCTATCTCTCACTTGCGTTTCAGGAAACAGTGTTTACAATTCCCTCCCTTCCATTGTGACCAGTGATAATGGCTCCATCAGAGCTCTCCCCTTAGGAACCTCAGCTGCTTGCTCCTCATTTGTCTGTGTTTCTATTGTGTAGCAGGGAGAAGGTGGCATAGAGCACACTCCTCAGGGAGGAGAGCCTCTGGTTTATTTATTATTATTTATCAGGGTCGGGGGATATCTGGTTTTCACCAGCTAAATGTCGCAAATATATTGATATATCACGATGTCTGAAATAAGGATGGAGGTATGTAGAAGCATTGGCTGGCTCCACAGTTTTTCCTGCATCGTGATTTTTGCATAGAACACACATCACGATTCACAATATATTGTGGGGTCAAAAATTATGAAACCCAGTATCATGATATGGACTTCAAACTGGTTGTGGACAAAGTATCGCCCAGTCCTGTTACATATTTTACTGCCTTATATCCCCCCCTTTTTTTTCTCGCTCTCCAAGGAGTTTTGGGTGGTGTAAGCAGTTCTTCCCCTCCCAAGTTTATCCCCAACACAACCTTGTAAGGTAGGTTAGGCTGAGGGATAATGAATGGCTCAACGTCACCCAGTGAACTTCATGGATGAGTGTGGATTTGAAACCTGGCCTCCCAGTGTCAAAGCCCAACACTCTAATCACTGCACCACATTGCTGTTCACACTGGAGAGGAGAGGTTTAGAAAGGCTTTGACTTCTTCAGCTCACACAGAAACAAATCAATGGAACGAACGAATTGCACTGGTGTTTTGACCCCTGCTCAATTCAAAGAACAGACCCACTAAAAATAAGCCGCCGATCTGGGAGACAAACAGAGCTTCCTGATGTGCTTGTACTGATGCTGGGCACAAAACTGTGGAACTGTGAGAGAATCAGATAGCAGGACGAAACAGTAAGGCAATTGTTAGGACAAACTGCAAACAAAGCTGTTTTTTTCTTTTGGAACCAACTTCCCTGGATCTCATAGTTTCCGAACAGAAACCTGTGAACTCCATTTCTGAACATGCACTCTCTTCTGCCCATGAACTCAACAGTGTTTGCAGCACAGCCCCAGAAGCTCAGTTTGGCAATAAACACACTTACAACACACACTTTGATCTAAATAAGAGCCTGATTTTCTGGTTAAACAGCCCTATGGATAACTTTCTGTAGCTCCCAGCTGCCACCTGGTGGCTCCTTCACACAACTGCAGCTTGAAAGCAGATTCCAAAACAGTATGTAATAGAAAAATGTAAATCTGGGGACCCATAAAGTTTGGTTTTACATTCAAAACAGTCCCCAGTTAATTTTAACACACCATAAACATATTACAAAGTAAAATGGAACAGTATAAATTGCAATAAATGAATAATGTACAACTAGTACAGTACGTTTTTCTAGAACTTTGTTAGTCCACTACATAACATACTGTATTTTGCTATAAAGACATTGCTCAGTTGTCTACCCTTTCTGATCATTGCCATGTTAGTTAATTTAACCGTGTAAACTATGTCCCAACTCCCAACTCTTACAAGCCTATCTGCAACTGCAGATTCTCCCACAGCCACCAGTCATCTGTGCAGAAGTTAAAAGATGTACTATCATTTTGTTATCATTAGATAAAAAATAACCAAACAATTCAATTAATGAGTTTATGTATTTTCTTTTTCTTTTGTATTTTCTTTTGTTGTAAATATGTATGTTTTGTAATTTGTACTTAATAAAAATATATTTAAAAAAATAATAATGATGAGTTTAATGGTAGTTTGAAGCCTGTTATTATTTCAGTTTGTTTATTATGTGTACCCAAAAAGTTCACACAGAAGTACACATAAAACCTATACCTGTATTTATTGCTCTGAATATTCAGCACTTATTACTAACACTGTCATAAATGCAATTACAGTGGTACCTCGCAAGACGAATGCCTCGCAAGACAAAAAACTTGCTAGACGAAAGGGTTTTTTGTTTTTTGAGCTGCTTCGCAAGACGATTTTCCCTATGGGCTTGCTTCGCAAGACGGAAACGTCTTGCAAGTTTGTTTCCTTTTTCTTAACACCGTTAATACAGTTGCGACTTGACTTCGAGGAGCAACTCATAGCACGCGGTGTGGTAGCCTTTTTTGAGGTTTTTAAAGCTTTTTGAGGTTTTTGAAGCTTTTCCAAAACTTTCCCGACACCGTGCTTCGCAAGACGACAAAACTCGCGGAACGAATTAATTTCGTCTTGTGAGGCACCACTGTAATGCTGTGGAGCTTACTTTTTTTTTTTTTTACACAGGCAAGACATCATAAAGTGACATCTTCATCAACTTACTGGTAGTCCTGGTAGTCCTGGAAATCCTTGATCACCCTTTTGTCCTGGCTGCAAAGATGTCAGTATCTCACCTGGCTCCCCCTAAAAGGAAAAAAAAAAAAAGAAATTTGGAGTAAGAAAGGAATACTCAAACATCTTATAAGAGAGCTAGATCAGAAACATTTATGTCTCAAAGTGGCAATGTCTTTCTTATAGGAGCTTAACTGTGCAAAAGAAACCTTTCAACCATTTTTTTTTACTTGGAAATTTCCTTGTGGGAACTCATTCATAATATTTTTCTGACCAATGATTTGAAGTATACAGTGGTTGTGTTCAAATTTGTGGCTAAACCATAGTTCAGTAGGACAAAAACAAGGTGAAGCAAGCTTCAGGCTTGAACCCTCTTCCCTCGCATCTCCTACTCTGCTGCTGTCACATGGAAGAGACGGTTTAGTTACCGGTACATTTGAATCCCAAATTGTGGTCAGTCGTAACTATGGTTTGCTGAAACAAGCCACCATAAAAATCATAGATTGAAGTTGGCTTGTTTCAAACAAATCGTAATTAAGATCAACCACAATTTGTCCAATTCAGATGATATAGAATCATAGAGTTGTAGAGTTGGAAGGGACTCCAAGGGTCACCTAGTCCAGTGTTTCCCAACCTTGGGCCTCCAGCTGTTTTTGGACTACAACTCCCATCATCCCTAGCTAGCAAGACCAGTGGTCAGGGATGATGGGAATTGTAGTTCAAAAACAGCTGGAGGCCCAAGGTTGGGAAACACTGACCTAGTCCAACCCCCTGTGATGCAGAAATGTCAGCTAAAGAATGACAGATGGCCATCCAACCTCTGCTTAAAAACCTCCAATTAAGGAGAGTCCACAACCTCCTAAGGGAGATTGTTCCACTGTCCAAAAGCTCTTCCTGACCTCCTAGTCAGAATCTCCTTTCTTGTAACTTGAGCTATTGGTTCGAGTCCTACCCTCCAGAGAAGGGGAAAACCCATGTTTGTTCCCTCTTCCAAGTGACAGCCCTTGAGATATTTGAATTTGGCTATCATATCTCCTCTCAGTCTCCTCTTTTCCAGGCTAAACATCCCCAGCTCCTTCAACTGCTCCTCATAAAGCTTGCTTTCCAGGCTCTTGATCATTTTGGTTGCCCTTCTTTGCACATGTTCCAGTTTGTCAACATCCTTAAGTTGTGATGCTCAGAACTAGACACAGAATTCCAGGTGTGGTCTGACCAAGGCAGTATAGAATAGTACTACTACTTCCCTTGAGCTGACACTATAATTCTGTTGATGCAGCCTAGAATAGTGTTAGCTTTTTTTGCTGCTGCATCACACAGTGATTCACACTGTTGACTCATGTTAAACTTGTGGTCCACCAGACCCCTAGATCCTGTTCACATGTACTGCTAGTAAGCCAGGTGTCCACCACCTGATATTTGCGCATCTGGTTCTTCCTGCCTAAGTGAAGAACCTTACATTTGTCCCTATTGAAATTCATTTTCTTAGCTTTTGTAAAGTTGCAGTTTATCACAACCAGAAGCAAAAGCTTTCCAAATCCTCCTTGCAAGAGGCTAAGGCTTGCTGTGGCTCATTCTCATCAAACTAAACAGCCTTCCCCAATATTGTCCCTTCCGTGAGTTTTGCACTGCATCTCCCTCCATCACTGAGCATTGGCCATGTTGGTTACACATTCTTTTCTGCAATGCTAAGTTCAGGTTATGAGACGCGGGAGGTGCTGTGGGTTAAACCTTGCCAATCAGAAGGTCGGCGGTTCGAATCCCCGCAACAGGGTGAGCTCCCGTTGCTCGGTCCCTGCTCCTGCCAACCTAGCAGTTCGAAAGCACGTCAAAGTGCAAGTAGATAAATAAGTACCACTCCGGAGTGGAAACTGGTGTTTCCGTGTGCTGCTCTGGTTCGCCAGAAGCGGTTTAGTCATGCTGGCCACATGACCCGGAAGCTGTACGCCAGCTACCTCGGCCAATAAAGCAAGATGAGCGCCTCAACCCCAGGGTCGGTCACAACTGGACCTCATGGTCAGGGGTCCCTTTACCTTTCTAAGTTCAGGTTCTGTGATAATTTTGCACTATAGAAATCATTGTTGTGGCCCACACCCATGTTATAAGCTCTTTTGAACAAAAGTGTGGTCACCCCATCAATTCAGTAAAGAGTGCTGCGGCATCATCTGAATTGTAGTCTTATCTTAAATTTTCTGGTGCACTTTAGTCTGAGACGTATCTACTGGTGGCACTCACTGTAAATGAAAGAACTTCCCCCAATTCTGACATGCCAGTCTCCCTTGCCCCATTTTTATCCCCCATTTTCAACCACAAGAATGAGTTCTCAAAGTTGCTAGCTGCCAATAAAATGCATAATTAGACCAAATGTTATTGTTGAACGCTTGAGAATCAGCAGTGCATTCAAATGGCAACTTACCTTCATCCCTATTAGGCCAGGGGGACCCTGCAGAAAAAGGGGGGGGGAAAGCGGGGGGGAGTAGAAAAAAAGAATTATGAATCTTCTATTAGATAGCAAATGCAGTTTCTTCCTTGCTTCAAATTGCAGTTCACTCAAACATACAGCAGGTGGAGTCAAACACTTAAATACTGCCAAAGGTACTCTTTAGATTAGAAGAAAACCATGATTCAAGGAGCCTTGAGAGTTTGCCTCAAATAAGTCACTTGCAGCACTTACACAAGCTAAACGGAGCTTCTTTTTATCAACTCTTAAGGCTCAAAACTATGTGGGACAAGAGCACAATTCAAAGACAGGTCTCTCTGCCCTGAGGTGGATGCTGAAGTTTTAATATATAAAACACTTGAGAGGTCTCATAACAAAACAATACACTACCACCATCAGTGCAATCATCCAATAAAAACAGACTAAGTAGAGTTAACACTAACTCGTGGTCCACAAGTTTTGTACAGCTGTCTTTAAAGAAATAGAAACAATCTGTAATATGGCAATTGACAACTGAACAAATTTAGCCTTGCTAGGAATTATAGATGTGTCGAATGAACAACTATGTTATAAAGAACGGTTAATGTTTCTTTTGGTGGCAGCTTGCCCAGAAACTGCCGAACATTGGCGCACTGCTCCAGGACTACCACAAGGTTGGTCTGTTGCCCTGACTAAAAAGTTAACCTGCAAAGCAGAAGCAGACAGAGATTAAGCAAACCCTCCATTTTTTTTATCATAGAATGGTAGAGTTGGAAGTGACCTTCAGCATCATCTAGTCCAACCCCCTACAATGCAGGATTATGAAGCTGTCCCATACGGGGATTGAACCTGCAGCCTTGGCGTTGTCAGCGCCATGCTCTAACCAACAGATTTATTTCATTTGTGTGCCATGAAGATCAATGGAGAAGGCACCTCAAACTCACAGAAACTTGTAGAGAGATCTACTGGAGTAAGGACTCAAGTTATTGTGTCTGTCTTTCACAGGTCTAAGGGTCATTCCATATCAAGTGATCCAACTTTTTTACCTCATGCCATCCAATTTTCTTAATATTTTGTACAATTGTTGAATGATCAAAACTAAGTTTAAATCTAAAATTTTAATTTTTCATCTCATCCTGTTTTTGTGTTATGAGGGTTTGAAATTTCAAAAAATAAAATGACAATTTTGGCCTTGCCGGACTACACAAAAATCTTTGAAGCTCAGCCCAGTATTGAGATATGTCAAAACTAAAAACACAAATCTCTTCAGAACTTCAAGGGCTTTAATATGATATGTCACATGATGGACTTACTTAAAATAAAAAAAAATAAGTTGCACAGTTAGTCCCTCTGGGTTCAATGGGGCTTACTCCCTGGAAAGTAGACACAGGGTTGTAGCCTAAGGCTCACAATAAAATATCCACAGAAACACAGCACAGAAGCAAAATACAGTGAGCTAAGTTTGGGTGACATCCTATGCCAAACCATGGTTTAGTGTGAACTTAAGTGCACAAAGGTTTGTGGAAAGGTAGATTACAGTTGGTGCACCCCTCCTCTCATCCTTCTGCTGCTGTGCCACTGAGAGCTATGGTTTGCCTTAGTGTGTCATCCAAATCCAGGTTCATGGTTTGTCTCCTCCAGACAAATAATGAGCTATAAACCCAACAACAAATCTTATTTATGAGTTCATTCTATAAGACAAGCCACGTGTCCTGGTTCAGACAACACTCTAAGCCAAATCATGGCTTAGCGCACAGCTGTGCAGGAAAAGCAGGATTGCGGGAGCAGCAAACTGGCCACGCTCTCCTCTCCAGGAGCCTGCATATTTGCAAAGTCATAGTTTGGCTTAGTGTTATGTCCAAACCAGCTCAGTCAAACAGTCCCCTCAAAGCCTCAAACAGCAGCTGAAAATCAAGCACATATAGCAATTACAGGAGGAAGTTTCTTGTACTTACAGGGGGGCCTTGTAAACCTGGGAAACCTGGACTGCCAGGGTAGCCACGTTCTCCCTGTAGAGGACAGAACAAAGACTTCAATGCATCACCAAAGACAGCGGAAAGCCCAAATGCATGCTGCTATAAAATGAAAGAGCAAAGGAGGCAGGTGTGCTGCAACCCCTGCTATAACAGGGGTTATAGCAGATCTTTTTAAACACGAGGAAGGGACCCCCCCCCATATACTCAATATTCTCTTCTTGCATCACTTTTATTTGATATATTTGAAAAAGACAGAAGCTCCAAGGAAGGAGGAAAACTGCCTAAGACCATGATAGACTGATGCACTTTCCATGCAGCTGGGACACCAATACTGATGTGGACACACAGACATGTGTGGGCCCTACGACAAAATTTTGCAGTATATTTCCACTGGAATTTTTCTGTTCAGGGCATCTATCCAGCCTGGAAAAGCAGCTTTGCAGTCTTGGAGGGATTTATTTTATGCAAGGGCCCACAAAATTAAAAACAACAACATTTTATTTATATTCCACCCATATGGCTGGGTTTCCCCAGCCACTGTGGGTTGCTCCCAGCAGAATAGTAAAAACACGATAAAACATTAAACACTAAAAACTTCCCTAAACAGGGCTGCCTTCAGATGTCGTTTAAAAGTCAGATAATTGTTTATTTCCTTGACATCTGATGGGAGGGCGTTCCACAGGGCAGGCGCCACTACCGAAAAGGCCCTCTGCCTGCTTCCCTGTAACCTCATTTCTCATAGTGAGGGAACTAGCAGAAGACCCTTGGAGGAGGACCTCAGTGTCTGGGCTGAATGATGGGGGTGGAGACGCTCTTTCAGGTATACTGGGCCGAGGCCGTTCAGAGCTTTAAAGGTCAGCACCAGCACCAGCACTGGGAGTCAATGAACATCCTTTAGGACCATTGTTATATGGTCTTGGCAGCCACTCCCAGTCACCAGTCTAGCTGCCGCACACTGGATTAGTTGTAGTTTCCAAGTCACCTTCAAAGGTAGCCCCATGTAGAGCAAACTGCAGTAATTCAAGGAGGAGATAACAGAGTATGTACCACTCTGGCAAGTGCGTAGGTAGGTCTCAGCCTGTGTACCAGATGGAGCTGGTAGACAGCTGCCCTGGATGCAGAATTGACCTGCGCCTCCAAGGACAGCTTTGAGTCCAAAATGACTCCCAGGTTGCGCACCTGGTCCTTCAGGGACAGTTACCCTGTTCAAGACCAGGGAGTCCCCCAAACCCACCCACTCCCTGTTCCCCAAAATCTTGTCAGGATTCAACCTCAATCTGTTGGCCATCATCCATCCTCCAAACACCTTCGGACACTCACACAGAACCTTCACAGGTTCTGATTTGAAGGAGAGGTAGAGCTGGGTGTCATCCACATAGAACTGGTGCCAGCGTCTGATTTTTACCTTTTCCCTCCCTGCCCCTGTGTGTGTCGTGTTTTTGTTTTATAATGTAAGCCTGGGGGCAGAAACTGCCTTGTTTAAACTGATTGCTTGTAAGCCATTCAAGGAACCTATTTGGCTGGAAAGCAGGAGACACAAATGCTATAAATAAATAAAAATAAGATATCTGAATGGAAAACATATAGCTCAGGGGTAGCTAACATGATGTTCTCCCATCAGCCCCAGCCAGCATGGCCAATGTTCAGGGATGATGGGAGTGCAGCAGAGCTATGCATTTTCATCAGAACCAGTCCCACCTTTGTTCCATTGCATCCTGGGATACCTGGAGGTCCTGGAGCCCCATCCTGACCTGGTAGCCCCTGCAAGGTGGAAGGAAAAGAAGCACAATCACATTAAGGCAACACTGTGTGTATGCTCCAGAACAAAACATGAATTCTGCCATTGTTATTTCAGTATTGCTGTAGGCAAAGCTTACTTACAGGAAGTCCTGGTGTTCCCGGAAAGCCTGGTAGACCTGGAGGACCCTGAAGATGAGAAACAACCACACTCATGTTTAGATAAAAGGGATAAAGGAATTGTTATTCTCAAAAAGAGTTATCAGCCACAACTGGAAGTGTGCAAGGCACAAGCATTGCTAGTTTGGTGTGTCGAGGTGGGGAGCCACTCCCAACAGTCTGAGCCAGCACGGCCCATGGTGTGTGATGATGGGAATTGTAGTCCGGCAACATCCAGAGAGCACCAGGTTCCCCACCTCTAGAGCCTCTTCAACAGGGAACAAGGAGCACCCTCTACTTACCTGGTGCTCTGGGTAGCTTCATGGGCTGGGGAAGGGCTGCAGCGGAGTGGCAGAGCATCTACTTTGCATACAAAAGGTCCACAGTTATCCCTGGCATCTCCAGGTAGGGCTGGGGAAGACTCCCTGCCTGAAACCCTGGAGAGCCACTGCCAATCAGCGTTGACCAGGGTTTCTCAAACTTGGGTCTCCAGCTGCTTTCAGACTACAGTTTCCATCATCCCTGACCACTGGTTCTGCTAGCTGGGGAAGATGGGAGTTGTAATCAAAAAACAGCTGAGGACCCAAGTGTGGGAACCCTGGAGTAGACAATACTGCCTTCGTGTGAGAAGAAGAAGGAAGGAAGGAAGGTCCAAACACTGTGCTTCTATCTAACAGCGTTTATTTACAAGCAAATACAGCAATAACTCCATCAGAGCTGGAACACATCCTTGCTCTTTCTCTCGCTCTCGGAGCAGAAGTGAAACTAACTTCACAGACAAAGGAATTACGTGACTTCTACTTCCCGTAGAAGCCCCTCCCAGGTACAAGACACTCAGAAGGTTAACCCATTAACCACCATACTCCACAATACAGTGGTACCTCAGGTTAAGAACTTAATTCGTTCCGGAGGGCCGTTGTTAACCTGATACCATTCTTAACCTGAGGTACCACTTTAACTAATGGGGCCTCCGCTGCCGCCATGCTGCTGCTGCACGATTTCTGTTCTCATCCTGAAGCAAAGTTCTTAACCTGAAGCACTATTTCTGGGTTAGCGGAGTCTGTAACCTGAAGCGTATGTAACTTGAAGCGTATGTAACCTGAAGCGTCTGTAACCCGAGGTACCACTGTACTGAGTTAACTGAACGCAATGGTCTGACTTTTTATAAGGCAGCATTCTATGTTCCAAAGGGATGAATTGCATTGACAGCATGTAGGCCCATTCATGGAGTGGCTCCACTAAATGAATTGTGCCCAAGGCCCCTTGTGGAGCTAGCAATGGTGTTGAAGAGAATTCTTGCTGCCTGGTGCATGTACCCATAAGAAACATGCCAGGGGCACACATGTGTTTTATGGAAATGCAGGGTGGGGTAGGGAAATGTACCTGTAATATAAAAAGTTTGCAAAGAACCCCCAAGGCACTGGTGAGCCTCTGCCAGTCACCTGCTCTTAGCAAAATCCAGAGACACACATTACAACAGGTGTGGGGAAGCTTTTACCCTCCAGATGTTGCTGGACTCCAAGTCCCATGAGCCACAGTCAGCACAGCCAATGAACAGGGATTTTCTTTGGGGGGGGGGGAAAGAGTGTAGTCCAGCAACATCTAGAGTGCCAAAGGTTCCTCATCTCTACATTATTGCTTTGGCTGTTGTGTTTTGTTTAAAGCGTGGCACATATTGCCTCAAAAAAACACCACTTACTTTCAGTGGTGTTTGGTACCCACTGGGGTTGGTGGGGCAGGGAGGCAGGGAGACCAACGGTGGGTGGAACCCAAGCCAATGACAGGCAAAGCAGCCAATGACAGACAAAGCAAACTAATTTATGTTTTGTTCCCATCCTTCTCCCATCCTGCTGAGTTCTAAAAGGGTCAACACTAAGGAGGAGGAGGCTGACAGCTACTTACACTGTCAGGCAGTAAGAAGGCTCTTAGGTGGGGGTTCACTTAGGGTGGACTGTGGTGAGTGGGGCAGCACCCCATTTGCCTCCACTGCTTATTTTGCTCTTGTCCTGTTGCTGCTCTCCACCCCACAGTAACTGCATTTCAGAAAATTAAAACATCACTTACTCTAATTCCTTTGGGTCCAGGTGGCCCTGGGAATCCATCATCACCCTGGAAAAAGAAAAAACATGGTGCAGGGAAAAGAAGAGGAGGAGAAAAGTGAGCAATGAGTTAACATGAATTCAAAGACAGACATTGAAATCCACTTTTTCATTTAGCCTTAATTACAAAGACGACCCTCTTGCTTTTTGCATTATTTCAGACAGCTTGGCTGCATAACAGGAAATTTCAATTCCATGCCCCACCCCCAAATCACACAGAAGTTTTTCTAGGTTCATTATGAAAATCCTAGAGCAGGCGTGGGGAACCTTTGGCCCTCCAGATGTTGCTGAACAACAGCTCCCCTCATTCCTGGCCATTGGCCATGCTTGCTTGTACCTCAGCAACATGTGGAGAGCCAAAAGTTCCTCACCCCATTCCAGAGAAACAAAGGTGCTCTTAAGTCTCAGGTCAGCATACTTACTTGCAAGAAAATCCTACTGAAACCAAAGGAACTTACTCCCATGTAAATGGTCAGAATCAACTTCCAATACAATAAAAGCATGTACACATGTAAAGCAAGTTCCCTTTACATACAAGCAAATGGATTTATGCTTAATGTAAAAGGCAATTCCTGAATTGCCTTTTACATACAAGGTTCAATCAAGGCGTATCATAAAAACAACAGCTTCCTCTTTTTAAGGGAGGAGAAAAAGTCAGGTTTACAAAAAAAGGGAGATCTTTTCACCCAGCTGGAAAACCTTCTCAAAACAAAAATGCCTTCAATTATCCACAAAAAGTGCAGATAGTAGGGGCCTATAGTATCGCAGGCAGAAGCTGTTCCACAGAACAGGAGCAGCAAAACAGAAAGCTCTGCTCCGAGTTACTGCAGCACAAGCATCTGACATTTTTGAGATGTGGAAGAAAAGCTGTCCTGCAGAAACCAATGATCTACTGGGTATATGAGGGATAAGGTGATCTCTCAAGTAAATTTAGGGTGAGGCTTCTTAGGCACCAGTGATGTGATGTGGACATTTTTATTTTATGTGATCAAATCAGACTCGTCATGGCTCTGAAATCCTGGGATACAGTGTCCTTATGCAGCAGTATCCCCCAAGAAGGAGATAGCTCCATGCCCCAGTGCTTTATATGTGGATCTCTTGACACTGGAGCCTGCATCTCATCCACTGAACCCCAAGGAGGCACTTCCACCACTAGACTCTCACAACTAAGTGAACAGCTCTTCAGATAATTCAGGAAACATATTTGTGTTTTCCCCAACTAAGTGCCCACTGCTTGAAACCCTAGAAGAAAGTCCTTGCAGCTTTAGATGATGCACTTGGGCGTGGGATGGGGACTTTAATCTTGACTGCCTGTCCCAGATCATTGAGCTGCAGCAGTTGCTCCAGGCCAGTGATGAGACAGCTTGCTTGTTCTGCCTCTACTACAGAATACTCCTGAATTTACTGTAGACAAGGGGCAGGTAGACAGCTTTCTTCCACTATCATGCCCCTTATTAATTCAATCTTCCTTGAATTAGGATAGGTGACAATAAATAAATACACGCACGCACACACACACACACATATATATAAAAGCGCCACATGTTGCCATCTAAATAGATCCCCCGTGAGACGATTAATTTCAGAGTCTAAAACTAGACCAGCTGGCTGGTCCAATAACAACTTCTTCTTACCTTACCTTTGTGTTTCTTGGCCAACACAGATACAGTTCCACGTGTACGAGAGATGTTAAAAGGAACACCTGCTCTGATGCAGTGAACACTATCTAAATGTCTGGACAACTGAAGCCATATTAGATATTTTATAGATCATGGCAACATGAGGCATTCATCATCATTCTGTTGAGCTACTCACTTTTTCGCCTCGTGACCCAGCTGGTCCTTCTGGTCCAGGAAATCCAGGTAAGCCTGGTTGTCCTTCTAAACCTGGGAAGCCTCTCTCACCCTGCAAAATAAATAATAATAATAATAATAATAATAATAATAATAATAATAAATGAACGGAATTAAGAATTCTCACTATATAGTATGGAGAATCATTGTTTTCTCTTGGTATTTTCCGTCAAAAAACTCTTCCCATTTGCTATAAGAAATGCCATTTGTTTAACCATGCTGAATTCCTGTGTGCTGAATCTGCATCAGGAATTCCAGCAAACATCAAAATGGGATCCATTTGGTTCATTTGGCTCAGTTTTAGTTGCCTCACCCCCCCCAAAAAAAGTATTATAGGAAAAGGCTCAGAAAAAGGAAATCAAGATGATAGAGCAACTGCCCAATCAGCAAAGGTTACAGTATTTGTGGCTTTTCAGTTTACAAAAAAAAAAAGGTGACTAATGGGGGACATGATCAATGTATACAAAATTTAAACACAGTGTGGAGAAAGCTAAGAGAGAAAGGTTTTTCTCCTTTTTTCATAACACTAGAATTCATGGGCATCCAATGATGCTGAATATTGGAAGATTCAGGACAGACAGATGTAGTGATGACTACCAACTTGAATGGCATTTAAAGAGAATTACACAAACTCACCGAGTGTAAGAATATCAATGGCTAAAACTCCCCAAGTTGTTCTTGTTTTTTGTTTTAAAAAAACCAGTTTCCCTTCCACTGATGCCATGTTGGCTTAGGTTGAGGCCCAACTCATGTGTGTCTTAGGTGAATGAGGGAACTTTGGATCTCGTATATTCAAAGACCACCACCAACAGGAATGTCCTGCTTCAGCCCCTAACAGCAGTACAGCCTTTTGCAGGTGGGCCTCTAGCGTGGACATGTCCTTCTGCCCCATCCCAGTCTCCTCAGACAGCCTTCAGCATGTGTTAAGGTTGTGTCAACCAGCAGAAGATGGTGGGAAGCCCTCAAGCAAGCCTGCTGGAAGCTCCGGGCAAATGTAAGTCTTTTAGAGGACAGACTGCCAACGTGACACCCTCCAGAGATCAGGGACTTTAACTCTCATCAGACCCAGTGAGGAAGGTCAATGGTGATGGGTTATGGGAGCTGTCGTCCACAACACTGGGAGGGCACCACATTAACATAGCCTCCAACATTTCTCCGATGAAAATAGGGATGTCCTATTTAATAATAGGGATGTCCTATTTAATTTTTATTACTTATACCCCACCCATCTGACTGGGTTGCCCCAGCCACTCTAGGCAGCTTCCAAAATATTAAAAACATAATAAAATATTAAACATGAAAAAACCTTCCTTATAGTTAACTGCCTTCAGATAGCTCAGGGGTTGGATAACTCCATACCCTCCAACATTTCTCTAATGAAAATAGGGATGTCCTAAGGAAAAGTGGGACATTCCAGGATCAAATCAGAAACCAGGATGGCTTCTGTAAATCTGGGACTGTCCCTGGAAAATACTAACTATCTGCAGTAACTATCCCTGCTTTAGAGGGCCTGATGAAGACACATGGGGAATGTGCTCCAAGATCTTCTATGTTTTTTGTTCTTAGTGATCCACTTCTGAAAGCTGGGTCAGCCTTGAACTAACTTTACATCATGGCCAAAAGGTCAGCCAAATCTTGCATCCAATATATGAATTTCCCCTATAGTGAGCTGCTAATTAGCACAGGAAATAGGTGATACCTGGAAGGGATTATCTTGTGCAGCTCCGTGACCCTGCTATTTCTGCTTTAATCCATTGCCAGGTTTGATCTTAACATGGCCCAAATACCTTGAATCCAGGAAAGTCCTCAAGCATTCCATTCACTTTTGTATGGATTGTTTGTTTGTCCTAAGCACTAAATATGTAGCTTTGGCATGCATTCTACTATCACACCCTGTACCTGGCACGCAGGTAGTGAGGTGGTGGCAAGGTGAACAGGGGGTAAAAGGCAAAGACAGGCCCAGCCACTAGGAAACAGTTTGCAGAGTCCTAAGTGCTCAGGAGAGTAAGCCAGCCTGACTTGGGAGCTTTTCTAAGCCTCAGGAAATAGCATGCAGCCTGTTTGAAATAATCACCACTAAGATGATTCCTAATTGGTTGCACTGTAGTTCTCTTCTTTTCTCAGTACAATCACATCTTACTCAGTTCCAGAGGCAGTACATCTCTAAATAGCACTTGCTCAGGGGCAAACACTGCTAAGGCCCTGCAGTATTAACAGACAGAACTAGTTACATCATCCCTTTCAGTTGTTAACTGCAGTGGTTGTACTATGGTTTGTTTGTTTTTACTAAGGCTGGCTATAGGATGGAGATGAGGAAGCAGTGACCCTTTAGATGTTTTTGGACGACAACTCCCATCATCCCTGACTATTGGCTATTCTGGCTGGGGCTGAATATGAAATAGTTCCCTAACACTGCTACGGGAAAATAAATATTTTGTGGAAGCACTTTTTAAACTTCCTAGTGGGAGGAAAGAATTTCGAAATGTGAGATTGCTACCTCTGAATTCCACCTACTTCACGCTCTTAAAATGCCCGTTTCCCTTTGGTGGGCGCAGCAAGGGCAACCCTGCCTTCTGAGACCAACATACAGTGTAATATTTTCCCTCGTAGAAGGCAAGTGCAGATCAGCCCTGATATGATGGAATCTGCCTTGAGAAATGTGTATGTTGGGAAACAGTGGAAAGGGTTGAATCATGGCAAAGACCTTTAATGTTCACATAGCGCAGGTGGGACTGTTCAGCAGCACACGGAACTGCAAGCCTCTTGTCAGGCAGATGTTTTCCAGCATCGGAGCCCATGCAATTTGCGCAGGGATTAGGGAAGCAAAAGGTGTACATGTGCCGTTATTTGTTTTAGATACTCAACAAAGAGTGTGCGCTTCTGAATTGTTCTCATGGATTAGCTATGTTAAGCACCTGGAACAAGAGAGATGGATGACAGTTCATGCCCCGAAGAAGAATCTGCCAAGAACTTGTCCTACAGGAGGAAACTGATTGGCACAAATGGAAGCAATCAGAGTGAGATACCTTGTCCTGCATCACTGTGGCAGCTACACACTGATATAGCCCACAATCACACCATGCATCTAAAGCATTGTTATACCACTTTGAACAGTCACAATTCCCCCTAAAGAATTCTGGGAGCTGCAGTTTGTGAAGAGTGCTAAGGGTTGTTAGGAGACCCCCTGTTTCCCTCACAGAGCTGCAGTTCTCAGAATGGTATAACCATCAATCTCTCTTCCCAGGGAACTCTTGCCCCTCTGTTGAATAGCTGGCCTGCTGTTCCTCATGCTGCAGTTGGCATGGTTGCCTATCATGGCCATGAGAACTGCAGAGCTTGGTTACATTTTCATTTTTATCTATACAGAAGGATATGTTGATTTTGGCTGGAAGGAAGGAAGGTTGGTTTTAAAAAAACGAAAGCCAAGACAGCATAGCATAGCAACATCTGATGGTCCAAAGCTTCCCCATAACTACTTCATTAACAGTTCTATCAATTTTCATCAAACCATGTCAATGTGGAATCCTGATGAAAACCCAACTTGGATGGCCTTAAGAAAGGGAGGTGGAAGACTAGACCTATTCATGTATGATAAGGCTATCTGTTCCTACTAGCTGTGTTGGGAATGCTAGAGGTAGGGAGCCCCCTGAATTGCTGGGACTCCCAAATGTGGTGGTCTGCTATTGCACTCAGGTCCTGCTTGCAGGCTCCCCATTAGGACATCTGGCTGGACACTGTGAGAACAGGATGCTGGACAAGATGGCCTGATTCAGCCACTGGCCTGATCCAGCTACAGTACTCCTCTCTGAAGTTGCAGTTGGGTGCATCTGCTACCAGCATCCATGCCTAGCTTGACCCTTTGCCTCCTGCAAAAAGCCCTCCTTGTTTGTTCAAACCACACAGCATTTATCTCTCTTCTTCTTTCTTTCTTTTATAAAAAAAGCTCTCTATCATTATGACAGAAGTTCATAATGGTACTTTTTAAGTATGTGTGTGTGTGCGCACGCACACGCACACAAACAAAAACAAAGTAAAGTTTTAGCAGCACAACCTCATTTAACCTTGTATTATTGCCAAGAAGACTAAGCCTTAGGCTTAGCACACACATATGCTATGAACCTTTGGCAAGCACATTTGCCAAAATATGATCTCATTCAATTGAGCCACCTGGATAGATAGGCGTGGCCCCTGGGGTAGCTTCTGTGAGGCACCCCGAACAACTCACTGGGGGAAATGTTTACTGCACCAACGTGGCTTGGCATTGAAAGCGTAACTCAGTGGCAAGTTTGAGAACCAAACAATTAAAACACAATATTGAAAAACAGCTTAAAGCAAGTTAAAATTATAGAAATAGGGTGCCTTGGAGGGTGTTAAAGCGATGTTTAAGTAAAGCAGAATTAAGTGAAGCAGAAACCAAAAACCAGTTTAAATCATATTCAGGAGAGCAGTGGGGAACTGTGGATCTCCATATGCTAACAGACATCAATGCACGCTCTGCTAGCCACATCTGGAAAGCTACAGGTTCCCCCATCCCTCAAACAGAAGAATCAATCCAATAGAGGACTGCACTCTGCAGAGTGTAACACATGGCCACCCTAGTGACAACACAGGACAGGGCTTTATTTATGGTGGCACCAAAACGGTAAAGGTAAAGGGACCCCTGACCATTAGGTCCAGTTGTGACCGACTCTGGGGTTGCGGTGCTCATCTCGTTTTATTGGCCGAGGGAGCCGGCGTACAGCTTTCAGGGCATGTGGCCAGCATGACTAAGCCGCTTCTGGCGAACCAGAGCAGCACACGGAAACGCCGTTTACCTTCCCACTGCAGCAGGACCTATTTATCTACTTGCACTTTGATGTGCTTTCAAACTGCTAGGTTGACAGGAGCAGGGACTGAGCAACAGGAGGGACCTTCTGATCGGCAAGTCCTAGGCTCTGTGTTTTAACCCACAGCACCACCCGCATCCCTTACCAAAACAGTAGCACGCTCCAAATTTATAGAAGTCCCTCCATAGAGACATTCACCTCACTCCTTCTATATTGACTCAAGGCATCAGGCCAAGGAGGAAGGACCAGAGCTCTGTAGTAGAGCATCTGTTTTTGCATGCAGAAGGTCTCAGGTTCAATCCCTGGTATCTCCAGGGAATAACTCCTGCCTGAAATCCTGGACAATAGCTGCCTGTCCGTGTAGACATTACTGAGCTAGATGGACCTATGTCCTTATTCAGTCAGCTTCCTATGTTCCTAAAGGTGATCTGGAAAGTTTTTGGGTTTCCCCAATTAGCTCCTTTCTTGTTTCTACTCCTCTTATTGGTGTTGCTGCTATTTAGTATTTAAGAGAGTTTAAAAAATAACTTGGAATCTAAGGGGTGCAGGAGAAGAGTTTGTTAATACCAGTTGTAAAATGCCATGTTGTTTTCTTACAGTTCTTCCTCAGGGGACTAGTCCAGCATCCTGTTCTCACAGCGACCAACTAGGTGCAGGACCTGCGCACAAGAACACTCTTCTGTCCTCCTGCAGCTTCCAGCTCCTGCTATTCAGAAGCACTGCTGATCCAACCATGGAGGCAGAACAGAGCCATCAGGGCTAGGAGCAATCTGAAGCTCTCTGCTCCATGAGCAGTTTCCTAAAAATGCTTAGGGACTGATAGATAATTGGCATTAATAAATATGTTTCCTGAAGTAGTTGGACTTCATGGCCCTTTGGGCATGCTCAGTTTTTAAAAGTGTACCCTATTAGAATTGGGGGAGAGCCTGTTCTGTTGTGCCACCCTCTCTGTGGAACATTCTCCTCTCTGAACTGAAGCAGGCACCAAACCAGCTGTCAGTTAGGGTCCTTTTGAACAACTGAATAAAAACAACTCATTTTTTTTTATTCCTAGGCCTTATCTGACTTTTAGTACCAGTTGGTTTAAATTTGCCTCAGGTCGGATATTTTTCTGTTTTGCAAATATTGTTTTGTTTCTGCATTTGACCATTTAGTGTGGCAGCACCTAAACTTTGGAACTCCCTGCTTGTTGAGATCAAGCAGGCGCCTTCACTGTACTATTTTTGGCACCTGCCAAAAACATTCCTGCTTAGACAAGCCTATGCAGATGTATAGAAAGTTGAGGTGATTTAATCTGTTTTATTATTTGAACTTTGGTATGTTTTCAAGTAGGGTTGTCCATTTTTTCTCAGCTTTACTATTTTTTCCCCTTTTGTAAAGTGCTTTGAGGTTGTTGGGCTTTTTTTTTTTTTACAATCAAGTGGTGTAATTCTTTTTCATGATAATAAATAAATGGGTTTATTCCTGCATTTTTATTAAATCTGCATACAACCTCGAGATTTTATAAACTTTTTTTTTTGAAAAAGGAATAACCTCCCGTCTAGACTACTGCAACACACTTTATGTAGTGCTGCCCTTGAACACGGCCCAGAAACTGCATCTAATGAAAAATGCCACGACCAGGTTCTTGGCTTGAGCAGTGAGGCGAGCCAGTTACAGTGATCTTGAAATTTATGTACTCCATTCAAGGTATCGGTACCAGTACACAAGGCTCCATTCATAGTAGGACCCAAGTACTGAAAGGAATGCTTTCCCCGATCTCTCTCTTTTGTAAGGTATGCAATAATTAATGCACTATATGTATTATAAAGTATCCTTTAAATATATTCCATGTGCATTTAGGTATAATTCATAGAATGTTTAACAATCTGCCTTTGAGACTTAGCCAACTGGCAGGTTACAAATATTTAAATTCTTACAATAATCTTAATTACTAACATTGCAATCCGAACACATTTATTAGAAACTCTCTATAAACAAATGGTTATAATTTTTTGTTAGAGAAAACAGAGCAGAATATAAATTGTTTTCATTGCTGCGCGGCTTGTCAAATGATTTTAGTCCAGTGGAGCAAAAACTCTTCAGGATCCAGATATGTTTCCTCCTGCACACACACACACACACACACACACACACACCTGCTCACCTTTCCCCCTTTTGTTCCGCTACAGTCGCATTTGGATCCTGACGAACATCCATGGCATGCCTAGAAAAGAGAAATAAAAAGAGAACATTAAAAGTTTGCAAAGAACTTTCCCACCCCACCAAATATGTGCTAATGAGGGGGAATGTCAATCGCTTGTTTTATGAACACAGTTTAAGGTTAGCACACTTCATCAATCATGGGGGGGGGGGCGGATTGGGAGTGCAACATGTGAATTTTAATCAGTTAAATGGACTGACCTCACATATTCTTTTAAGAATAATCTCAAACCTGAAAGGGGGAGAAATGCAGATCACCTTGCTTCTCCCTTTACAACCTCTCAAAAAAAAGAAAGAAAAAAACAAGAAGAAGCAACAACAGCCAACCCTAGTTTTCCCCTCAAGAAAACATTGGATATATTAATTGGATGTTTTTTATTGGAAAATTAATAAAAATGATTAAAAAAAGGAAAACACTCTGATTCATGCCCAGTCCATTCCACACCCTAAGGGTGCTTCTAAATGACCCATTTATTGAGCTCTCGCTCTGTTTGCAGGGAGGCTAGAAGTCTTTAGCAAGTGCTTTTCCAGACTCCTCACTGCATTTTACCAGTCACTTTCCTTATCTCAAGAAGTCAGATCTCCTGGGGGAAACAGGTTTGTTGCACAAGAACTCCAAATCAGCTATCATTGTGCAACCCGGATGTGCTGGGATGTGACTGAACCATACCTTAAAACAGCAACAGCACCCACCCCCCCGTCCCCCTGATCTTCCACTGCCTCAACCTGGGTCCCCTCGTATCTGCACAGAAATCTGTTTCTCAAATAATTCCCCTCTCTTCATAATAATCACCCCTCCTTAAATAGACACTGGCTTCCTGTCTATTCCCAAATCTAGTACATGTTCCTTGACCTTGCCTTCAGAGCCCTCCATTGCCTTGCCCCTCCACCTCTTCACCCCACAGCCCTGCCATTCATCTTCACTCTTCTACCCTCCCCTTTCCAAAGCTCTTCTGATACAGTGGTACCTCTGGTTAAGTACTTAATTCGTTCCGGAGGTCCGTACTTAACCTGAAACTGTTCTTAACCTGAAGGACCACTTTAGCTAATGGGGCCTCCTGCTGCCGCCGCCGCGCCACCAGAGCCCGATTTCCATTTTTATCCTGAAGCAAAGTTCTTAACCTGAAGCACTATTTCTGGCTTAGTGGTGTAACCTGAAGTGTATGTAACCTGAAGCGTATGTAACCCGAGGTACCACTGTACTTCAAGCAGCTATAGAAGGGGTCAGCAAACGTTTTCAGCAGGGAGCCAGTCCACTGCCCCATAGACCTTGTGGGGGGCCGGACTATATTTTGTGTGTGTGTGGGGTGAACGAATTCCTGTGCCCCACAAATAATCCAGAGGTGCATTTTAAATAAAAGGACAAATTCCACTCATGTAAAAACACGCTGACTCCTGGACCATCTGCCGGCCGGATTGAGAAGGTGATTAGGTCACATCCGGCCCACGGTCCTTAGTTTGCATACCCATGAGCTACAGCAAGTCTCCCTTGCTCCCCATATACCGTATACCAGGGGTCTGCAACCTTTAAGACAAAAAGAGCCACTTGGACCCGTTTCCGAAGAAAAACAACAACTGGGAGCCGCAAAACCATTGCGATATTTAAAACAAATATATCTCCGGAGCTGCAATCTGACAGCGGGCGGGAAGGTGACGTCGGGACGGTGCGTGACTAACACACGCACCGCCCCCATGCGACGTCACAGCAAGTACAGTGCCCGCCACAGTGGGGAGTGTCGGGGCACACAATGCACCTCCTCCCCTCGCTAGTATCCGCCCCGGAGCCGTGGCAAAGGTGTAAAAGAGCCACATGCGGCTCCGGAGCCGCGGGTTGCAGACCCCTGCCGTATACCGTACTACTAGCTTGGGTGACTTCAAAAGGGGATTAGACACGGGGCGCTGCGCAGCTCGCCCTCTCCATTTCTCCTCCCGCTTTGCTGAAGGGGCGCTGCGCAGCTTTCCCTCTCTGCGCAGTGCCGCTCCAGAGAAGCGAAGTCAGAACAGCAAGAGGGATCACTGCGCAGCGATCCCTCTTGCTGTTCTGGCTTCTGGGATAGCCATGAGAAGCCTCTTCAGGGCAGGGGGAACATTCCTTCTGTTGCCCTGAAGAGGCTTCGCACGGCTATCCCACTGCTTTCACTGCACAGCGATCCCTCTTGCTGTTCTGGCTTCAGCGATAGCTGCACAGCCTGCATTCGCTCCATAAGACGCACACACATTTCCCCTTACTTTTTAGGAGGGGAAAAGTGCATCTTATACAGCAAGAAATACGGTACTTGGAACTGCCTCCCAGGACACCTGCCTCCCAGGACACCTGTGTGCTGGCGTTTCTTCACATCCAACCCACCTCAAAGCCCACTTTTCCTTTGAGGCCTTTGGCATAACCCTCTCATTCTCACATCTTACTGTGAAGCCTAAGCATCTGTAACTGAATCCACCGCGTATTGCTTCCATGCTTACACTTGCCCCCCACATTTTCTCTGCATCAATCTTTTTTATTATTATTGTAAGCCGCTTGGGGCAGAGGCCTATCCTTGTGCACTCTGAAAAGCACCGTGCAAATTGAAGATGAGACACTGTGTGTGTACACATACATGTTTATATGAACACACACATACACACACTGCTATTACACAGGCTTCTGAAGTCATCATGGCTTGTTCTAATCAGTGATTGTTCCATATATATGAACTGTTATGTGAGGCCCACCTAAAACGTAGTGTGTAACAACTTCTTTTGTTTCATTTGAGAACATGTCACAGCAGACCTTGTAAGAGGCATTCTTTATTCTCTTTCACACGCACAATGGGAAATGCCTCTTCTAAAACAACACAAGTGTGTGTTGTAAAAAAATCTGTTGCCTGATTAGACAGGCCTTTTAAAACCAACTAAGCCAACCTAACATGTGTCCCCATACATTTCACATTTTCCTGATTACAGGGAAGAAGCAATTTCTTGCAGGTTATTGCCTTCATTGTTGCATTACTCATGCAGATAGTTCTTTATACTTATTAAACTGGCTGCTTAATTTCTGCACAGACTCAAGAGCCGTATCTTTTTCACATAGCCAGGAATTGTCGCAATAAGAATGCCAGCCAATAGGTGGCATACCTTGCTCTCAGTCAGAAGATGCAGGTAAGCCAAATCTGTCCAGTTCTGAGGGAAAGAATAACTTCCTCTTCTCCGATGCTTTTGGCACCCAGAGCTAAAAGTACAGTGGTACCTCGGGCTATATACGCTTCAGGTTACAAACGCTTCAGGTTACAGACTCTGCTAACCCAGAAATAGTACCTCAGGTTAAGAACTTTGCTTCAGGATGAGAACAGAAATTGCACAGCGGTAGCAGGAGGCCCCATTAGCTAAAGTGGTGCTTCAGGTTAAGAACAGTTTCAGGTTAAGAACGGACCTCCGGAACAAATTAAGTACTTAACCCGAGGTACCACTGTAAAGTTAATATTCTATGGAAAAATCAAGAGGTGGGAGGCAAGAACAAATGATGGCATGTCACAGCAGCTAGAATTTTGAGCATTTAACTTCAGTGACCTAGGTTCTAGGCAAGTTCATTTTCATATGTGTGTGTGTTTAACTTGTACACTGTTTTTCTACAATGTTGTATGTTTTGTTATTGAGTACAGCAGCAACAACAAAACTCTACAATTTAAAATGAAACAAAGTTACAATGAAAATACAATTTAAAACTAATAATGATATTTAGTAATCCATTTCAGCTCCTGCAGCCAATCGGAAGTCGCAGAAGCCCCGTCAGACATTCGGCTTTCAAAAATAGTTCGCAAACCGGAGCAGTCACTTTTGGGTTTGCCGCATTCGGGAGCCAAAACGTTAGGGAACTGAGCTGTTCGAAAACCATGGTATTACAAGATCATTACAGTGGTGCCTCGCAAGACGAAATTAATCCGTTCCGCGAGTCTCTTCGTCTTGCGGTTTTTTTGTCTTGCGAAGCACGGCTATTAGCGGCTATTAGCGGCTTAGCGGCTATTAACGGCTAAGCGGCTTAGCAGCTATTAATGGCTTAGCGGCTTTAAGAAAAAGGAAACAAACTCGCAAGAACTCGCAAGACGAAATCGGGAAATTCGTCTTGCGGAACGACTCAAAAAACGGAAAACCCTTTCGTCTAGCGAGTTTTTCATCTTGCGAGGCATTCATCTTGCGGGGCACCACTGTATTTCTTCAGAATGCCAGAAAAAAAGTAACCACTCCCAGTTAAAATAAAACATTAGGCGAAGTCATAAGAGACCAGCAGAAAAAACAGTAAAAAAACAAAATAAAAATTGCTAAAGGCCATGAATAAAAGATCAATTTGGCAGCCACATTGTGTAATTGTACAGAAAACACAAATATACAGTGGTACCTCAGGTTACATACGCTTCAGGTTACAGACTCCGCTAACCCAGAAATAGTGCTTCAGGTTAAGAACTTTGCTTCAGGATGAGAACAGAAATCGTGCGGCGCGGCGGCAGCAGGAGGCCCCATTAGCTAAAGTGGTGCTTCAGGTTAAGAACAGTTTCAGGTTAAGAACAGACCTCTGGAACGAATTAAGTACTTAACCCGAGATATCACTGTAATTAACAATATTAAAGGTAAAGGAACCCCTGACCATTAGGTCCAGTCGTGGCTGACTCTGGGGTTGCAGCACTCATGACTAAGCCGCTTCTGGTGAACCAGAGCAGCACACGGAAACACCATTTACCTTCCCAAAATTATCACAGAACCTGAACTTAAGAAGGTAAAGGTAAAGGGACCCCTGACCATGAGGTCCAGTCGTGACCGACTCTGGGATTGCGGTGCTCATCTTGCTTTATTGGCCGAGGGAGCCGGTGTACAGCTTCTGGGTCATGTGGCCAGCATGACTAAGCCGTTTCTGGCGAACCAGAGCAGCACACGGAAACGCCGTTTATCTTCCTGCCGGAGCGGTACCTATTTATCTACTTGCACTTTGACATGCTTTTGAATTGCTAGGTTGGCAGGAGCAGGGACCGAGCAACG